AAGGCGTTAAAGAAGAGATCCCTGTCTTACAACAAAAACAAGGCGTTATAGAAGAGATCCCTGTTTCACACCAAAAACAAGGCGTAATAGAAGAGAACCCTGTTGCATACCAGCAACAAATCAATCCTACGTCGGAGATAACCAGATTTCTCCTACGCAAGGACCTGTTGTTCTCCCAGCTAACAAGCTTTAACGACCGGGCAGAATCCTTCCATACATGGAAAGCCTGCTTTAAAAACGTCATAGACGAATTACAAGTTTCGGACTCGGAACAGATAGACCTACTTATTAAATGGCTTGGACCAGAGTCTGCCAAACATGCCATGAGTATAAGGGCATCAAATGCCAACAACCCAACAAGAGGCCTACAGAGACTATGGGAGAGACTTGACGACCGATATGGTGCTCCAGAAATGTTGGAGGCGTCTCTCGTTAACAAACTCGTCAACTTCCCAACACTGACGAATAAGGACAACTCACTCCTTTACGATTTGTCAGATATTATCTCAGAAATAGAATATCACAAGGAAATTCCCAAGCTGGGATGTTTGCTTGCGTATTTCGACTCTTCATCCGGGATAAATCCTATAGTGGAAAAACTGCCATACGGACTCCAAGAAAAGTGGATAACAAGGGCTTCAAGATACAAGTCTAAATATGAAGTTGCATTTCCACCTTTCACAGAATTCTCTGCCTTCATCAGAGAAATTAGCAAAATAAAGAACGATCCTGGGTTCATTTTTGGGTCAAGAGTCACACCAAGTACAAAAGGTGCTGCGCCAAAGTTCACACCTCAAACATATTCTAAAGTCAATGTTCATAAGACAGCAGTTGAACAGCAACCTGGAGACAGCAGTGAACAACAAAATCTTTGCATGTTGCATAATACAAAGCATACCTTAAACGAATGCCGAGCGTTCCGTGCCAAATCAATCGAGGAACGCAAGGAACTGTTGAGGCAAAACAATCTTTGTTACAAATGCTGTGATTCGACTATGCACAGAAGTCGTGATTGCAAGGCAAGTATCAGTTGCAATGAATGCGGAAGTTAACAACACACCACCGCATTACACACAAATCGAGTGTACCAACCCAAAGGTGCACCGCCTTCACCGCCTAGATCAGTCGACGGCGGGGAGCTAATTGATACAGCCTACGGCGGGGAGCAACTTGAGTTAGCTGAAACCAAGCTAACCTCTGTTAGTTCAACTTGCACAGATATCTGTAAAGATGGCAACAGTAGTAAATCTTGTGCCAAGATACTCCCTGTGAATGTCTTTCACAAAAATAATCAGGACAAAGTAATTCGCATGTATGCAATTATTGACGACCAAAGCAACCGGTCTCTCGCCGCTCCTGAATTCTTCAGCCTATTCAACGTACAGGAAGAAACAAAAGACTATATGTTATCCACATGCTCCGGCAGCAAGGTTACTTCCGGAAAACGAGGAAACGGCTTTGTCGTAAAGTCTGTACAAGACAATACTAGATTCAATCTGCCTGAACTGATTGAATGCGATAACATTCCCAATAATCGGAACGAAATTGCTACAACTGAGGATATATTGCAATATCAACACTTGCAAGAACTACAAAAAAATATCTCCCTATTGATGGAAAATGCAAAATCCTATTGCTCATTGGAAGAGACCTAATAGAGGCACATCACGTCCTTGATCAACGTCTAGGACCACCAAAGGCTCCATTTGCGCAAAAGTTAAACCTGGGTTGGATTATCGTTGGTGAAATACGCTCCGATAAGCAACATGTTCACCTTGAACTCACTACAAAGGAACCAAATCCAGCTTGCAGTGTTGTGAAACCACATACAAAGAAATTACCTGAGTGTAATAAAACCAACACCCAGTCAAATGGAATTCGAACTGATTCGTTTAAACAATATCCCCGTTTACATGGGCATCCAAAAACGAAATCAGCGACTTCGATCGTCAGATTTGCAGAATCCGAAAAGTTCATTTCGGAAGCAACACCACCAAAAGTGAATGCGGACAAAGAAAAGTACATCCGAAAACATTTTATTCCCAAGGAAAGCTTCAATTCGCCTTTGGATACGCAAGGACAAGAGGAAAGTAGAATAGACAATTCGGACTTAAGTCACAGAGAAAAGGAACATGGCAACGGCTGGTCTACTGTATGCCGTAAACGTAAAGGAAAGCGTCCGTTTTGCAAGACGTCCCCGTTGGATCGCATATCTGTGTCGAAAGGAGATTCATCCATCAGAACTACAGCCATGGAATTGGATCTTAGATCGCTGCGATCTCGTCGGAAACACCACCTTATCTAGGAAAGAAGCTGTGAAATACCCAGCCTCCCGTTGGATTACTTCCAAGTTCATATAAGTGGAACTTTGGAAGGCTGTTATATATTTAACATTTTATTTGTTTTAATAATGGAATAGTGATGTCAGATAGACCTCAGACGGGGAGTGTTCTGGAACTCATTCATCATTTGTTCTTCATGTGATCATCATTTTATATTGTTTATGTTTCATTGCGTACATCACTTTATATGCTCCAGTTTTAGGAGTTTTATACAGGACAGTGTAGGAACCCATGTTACTTTCCCCTCTCTTCTGAGTGACGAAAACTGCTCAGCAGGCCATGTGCACAACTGCAAGGAACATTCAGCGGACACGTTGTCCAAAGGAACAATTCGTGGCTAACCACAGCGTGAGTTACCTTTAAAACATTACAAATTATGTCTTTACATCAGCGATGAACTGTTTTAATATGTTTTCCTATGTTATAAAGAAACTATGAACATTTAACCGTTCAAACTGTTCGTATCTGCGATTACACAATTTAATTCAGACAGAACCCGACGTGTGCAAGAATATTCATCTATTTATTATTATAAAGAACATTAACAGCTTTATAAATCTACGAACTGTTTATCCGTATTTTTAATGGACTTTAATTATCATTGAACACATTGTAAAATTGTATTTATATTTGTATTTTCAGTTTTTCACCATTTGGATTGGTAGTAAAATAAAAGTCAGCTCCTGATTGTTTTATCTTTACATAAACCCAGTCATCTTGGTTAAACTCGCTGGTCCGGCCAGTACATTTATAGAAAGAGAGAAAGTGTAAATGACAAAATTGTTCAGCAAAGTAAGATCTACAAATAAGTCAAATGCCTGAAACTGAAATTACAACCAGGTGAGTGATATCAGGCTCTCATGAGCCTCTTGTTTTGGCCCCATAATTCCTTAATGGTTTGGGCCATAACCCCCAAAAGCAATCCCAACCTTCCTTTTGTGGTATGGAACCTTATGGTACAATTTCATAGAGATCCATACACTTATACTCAAGTTATTAATATTGTTTGGAAACCAAATGTCTTCGGACATAGACAACACTGACAACGCCATAACATAATATGACCACAAAAATTTTGCAGTCGTATAGAAAGGAATCGTGAAGTATTATAACATCAAATATTTATCTGTCAAATCTATCCGTACTAAATCATAAAAATCAATTAATTAAAAACTAGAGGCTCTCAAGAGCCTGTGTCGCTCACCTGTATTTACTGATGCTTTGGAAATCATGTAAAATAAGGTTTAAATCATAATTAATAGTATTAGATATTAGATATTATAATGATATCTAAGATAATAACAAAAAACTGCAACAAAATTTTTGTAAAATTACTAACTCAGGGGCAGCAACCCAACAACGGATTGTCGGATTTGCTCTAAATGCTTTAGTTTCAGAGATATAGACCAAAAACTGCATTTTACCCCTATGTTCTATTTTTAACCAAGTCGGCCATGATGGTTGGAAGGCAGGGTCATCGGACAAATTTTTTTAACTAGATACCCTAATAATGATTATGGCCAAGTATGGTTAAATTTGTCTCAGTAGTTTCAGAGAAGAAGATTTTTGTAAAAGATTACAAAAATTTACAAAAAATTGTTAAAAATTGACTATTAAGGGCAATAACTCCTAAAGGGGTCGACTGACAATTTTGGTCATGACAACTTATTTGTAGTTCTTACCCAGCAGACATTTGACGTTGTATAAACATCAGTTCGACGTCAGACCCTAACGTTGCGCCTACGTTAGATTTTGGTTGTATATGATATTTTTTAGACGTAAAAAAACTGACGTCTACCCAACGTCATGACATACGTCCGTTCAACGTCTGTACAACGTAGTTACAACATCAGTACAACGTTGGTACAACATCAGATCTACCAACAGGATGAACACGAATAAGGATGTTCCACGTCTGTACAAGGTCTAATCAACGTCATAACAACCACCATTAAACCTCTTTAAATATCCTCAGATGCCTGTACAACGTCTAATCAACGTCCTAACAACCACCATTAAACCTCTTTAAATATCCTCAGATGTCTGCACAGCGTCTAATCAACATCCTAACAACCACCATTAAACCTCTTTAAATATCCTCAGATGTCTGCACAGCGTCTAATAAACATCCTATCAACCACCATTAAACCTCTCTAACTATCCTCAGATATCTATACAACGTCTAATCAACGTCATAACAACCACTATTTAACCTCTTTAAATATCCTCAGATGTCTTCAGAGCTAATTAAAGACCAACGTAAATCCTTATTAACGTTCTTAAATTGGACAACTTAAGGTAATGAAACAATAATTCATATATTAAAGTTGACGTCCTGAATAAGTGCTTCAACATCTTTAAAACCTCAGAAAATCATTCCTTCCAACAAAGGTTGGTAACCCTATAATTCATGTCTCCACAACTACTTTGCACATCAATCTGCTGTTGACCAGGGGTTCAAAAATAGTCGCATTGTCCGGGCTTGACCAGTAAATTATATTTTTGAGTTGATATGCAGAGCCTGAAGTGGACATATAAGGTTTTGCCAAGTAAATTTAGGAGAAACCAACAAATATCAATTAGCTAAGTTCTAAAAAGCAGAACTATGAGCTTTGAACACTTGAAATATGTGTTGAAACAAAACAATAAATAATTGAATGAATCAACATATTTTAATGTGGTATTTTTGAAAACATCAATGTCAAATTTCTGCTCCATTTTATTGATGTCTGCTGCTTCATCAGTTGATGTCTCAGCTTTCTTCTTCCGACCACTCGTCCCATTCTGCCAGATGGGTACTTCAGGTAAGCTGCTGTTACCTGTATTTCATGTACCATTTCTAAAATAAAAAATGTTTAATTTATGTGAAAACCAAACAGTTTAGTGTTAACAACAGAATGTCTTTAGTGCTGCATTATCGATGTTTTAAGCAAATTTTGAGGCAAACAGTTAAACCCCTGACTTCAATAACAAATTGTTCTAGGTATAGTAAAAATATTATTTATATATTTTTTTTATAAAGCAAGGGATCATACATTGGAAACACAGATCAATGATGGAAAATACAAAGTATTTTTTTTCAAATTATCTTGAAATATCACCGAGATCTTGACAGTCACTCATCTTGAGAAACAATAATGCACCGCAAGCACCGAGATCTTTACAGTCACTCATCTTGGGAAACAATAATGCACCGCAAGCACCGAGATCTTGACAGTCACTCATCTTGAGATACAATAATGCCCCACAAGCACCGAGATCTTGACAGTCACTCATCTTGGGAAACAATAATGCCCCACAAGCACCGAGATCTTGACAGTCACTCATCTTGGGAAACAATAATGCATCACAAGCACCGAGATCTTGACAGTCACTCATCTTGAGAAACAATAATGCTCCATAAGCACCGAGATCTTTACAGTCACTCATCTTGGGGAAACAATAATGCACCGCAAGCACCAAGCTCTTGACAGTCACTCTTGAGATACAATAATGTTTTACAAGCACCGAGATCTGTACAGTCACTCATCTTGGGAAACAATAATTGATGCATTGCAAGTACTGAGATCTTGACGGTCTCTTATCTTGAGAAACAATAATGCACCACAAGCCCCGAGATCTTGACAAACACTCATTTTGTATAATAAAACACACCCATAAAAAATGTATCCTACATTGCCAGATAGACCCCTATAATTTTACTATAATTCAAAATTTTTCATGTATAATTAATTATATTGATATATTTTATTTTGTATATTTTAATTCTTCATCAATAGATATTTTTGGCATATTTCTGCTATACGCAAGAAGTAGTTAAACATTGAAACTTTGTTTACATTCTTCCTCACCAGTCTTTTGTGATACTTTTTTTTATTTTACATGTATATGGGTTATGTTTAGATACCAAAACTATAGGAATATTTACTTTTTCCTTGAATTTTATGTGCTGTAATAATTAAATACGGATAAAGCATCAGTATTCATGGTATTAAATACATCATCTATTTCGACGTTAACATATAAACCACTTTGAAATTGGTCAGACTGTGTATTAATTTGCTATGGTCACATGTGTTTCTTATCTGTATATTACTTCACCGATAACATGTTGGAATACATGCTGTGAGTGTAGAGTAGAGAAGAATTTGTTTGTTTTAAATGTATTTCAAGGTCAAAAATATCATGTGTTGTAAATCTTTGACTTGTAATTGCATCAACATATATAAATAAGAACGAAACGTTATCGTTTAAATTTACATAGGTGAATTTAACTTCAATAAGGGGTTATAAATGATTATTTCAATACTTGCAAGACGAATAAATTCTTTAATTTCATCCGATGTTCAATGATATATTACGAATCCATCCTCTCTGTATCTGCAATGAAAGAATTTTGGAGAAAGCGTTACTAAGTTGAAAAACTTGTATCTAATACCCATTTGTCCATTTTGAACAATAAAATATGTTTAAACTAATATTAGAATACTTTGCCACACGCTTAAGTTTTTACAATCATTGTTCATACTTTTTTTAACACAAGTTCCTTCACCCAATTTTCAATTTACAAGTCAAATATATCTAGATTAAGGTCAACCTAGTTGTTCGCTGAGGCTTCAATTATAAATTATATCTGATCCGAAATCTGATCTGCACAGATCACTGTTCACTCATACTTGCGGGAACAGCGACTAATTACAGCTACAATACTGTTTACACTAAATTATTATCATATATCTACTATTAAAGCAAACAATAAATGAAAATTACACTTACTTTGCACTTCTTACAGCATCCGTCGTAGAAATTGTTGTTGTAATCAAATTGGCGCACATAAATTCGAAATGTCGGCCTCATACGCATGCGCCAATTGAAATAAAATCAGTTTTGTGTAATTGAAATATTTTACGGCGAAAATTTTAAAACAGTTTATTCATTCACTTTAATCATATCAATTAGATATATTAGCAACAGTAATCGTTGAATTTATTCAAAAACACAAGTAAACCAATATAAATAAAAGGTTGCGTGCCTGCTGGGTATATATTTCCAGGTACGTGTTATTTCGATTAATATAGACGTCCGACCGACATTTGGAATCCGACGTTGTGTCAACGTTGTATAAGGTCGTGACCAAAAAACAAGGTTACATAGACGTCATTCTATAACGTCCGACAGACGTTTGCCAGTCGACGTTGAACCGACGTTGAATTTAGGTCGCCGACGTTGCGACCTATTTTCAACCAAATATCAACGTCTGTACAACATCGGGTGCCTGCTGGGTACTTTGCTGAACATTATTGCTGTTTACAGTTTATCTCTATCTATAATAATATTCAAGATAATAACCAAAAACTGCAAAAGTTCCTTAAAATTACCAATTCAGGGGCAGCAACCCAACAACAGGTTGTCAAAATTGTCTGAAATTTTCAGGGCAGATAGATCTTGACCTGATAATCAGTTTTACCTTATGTCAGATTTACTCTAAATGCTTTGGTTTCAGGGATATAAGCCAAAATCTACATTTTACCCCTATGTTCTATTTTTAGCCATGGAAGCCATCTTGGTTGGTTGGTGGGGTCATCGGACACATTTTTTAAACTAGATACTCTAATGATGATTGTGGCCAAGTTTGGTTAAATTTGGCCCAGTGGTTTCAGAGGAGAAGATTTTTGTAAAAAGCTAACGACGACGGACGACGACGACGGACGACGGATGCCAAGTGATGAGAAAAGCTCACTTGGCCCTTCGGGCCAGGTGAGCTAAAAAAGCAAGTGCTTTTTAATTCCCTTTTGTTTATTTCTTGTTCAATACATTTATAAAATTATTATCATGGTTTTAGAACATTTTAACTATAAACTGATACATATGTTGATATGAATGCAATGAATGTGTCTTATCCAAATGACCTCTATTTATGTAAGTTTACTGTTCTGTAGGAGTGTTGCTGACTTATAATCAGCTATCACAGAATCACACCTCCATGCGTCAATCAGTAATTTACACCAGTAATAGTACAGTACTTCTTGACCAGCCTTGATTTAGATCATCCTGCTATAGGGTTAGCATGTACAGTAATGTCCTGAATTCTACTCTCATTTAAAGGTCTGTATGTCTTTTCATCTACTGGTTGCTTTTCAAACTCATCCAACGTGTCAAAACCATCAATTACTCTGTAAATTTGGATAAGATTCAAATTTTTAAATGAAATGTTGTCAACACTGTTATTAAGAAACATATAGAATTCAAGGTAAATAAAAAACAAGTGAAACTGCGAGCTACTGCTGACTGATGATACCTCTGCCGCAACTGGATAATTTTAATAGTGTAATAAAATGCTTCACTGAGCACAGCCTGATACAGCCACTGAGGTTGAACCCTGAACAGCTGAGCAAATTTGGACACAATATTCAAGCTTGATACTGTCTGAATTTGGATTGTGATCAAATTTTTGAAATAATATAGGTTTCTGACACAAAATAAATGTGGTCAAAGATCTTAAAAATCTATTGCCCAATACTGGCCAAAGATCTTAAAAATCTATTGTGCAATACTGTGCAATTGAAGATATCTTTTTAAAACTCTTCAAAAATTTGAAATTTGAAAAATTTTGAAAAAAATACAAGCATTCTGAGAGTATTGCATGGCAATACAGAGTCCCCTACCGGGTAAAAATTCATTATACTGGAACAAAAAGCTAACTTGTTCTATAACTTGTCATGGTGTACACAAAAAGAAAATATGAAGTCAATATCTTCAAGCGTGAACAAAACAGTGTGAAAAACTGATTAAATGAGTGAATTTTAAAGTCCAAGGACCATAACTCTGCACAAAATTATCAGACCGAAACAAAATTTCGAAGTTGATCTGTATAACTTGTCATGATAAAACTATATACCAATTATCAATCAATATCTTCAAGCATGATTAAAAAAAGTGTGGAAAACACTTTAACATTAGATATGATTAATAATTCTCTAAAATTAGATATGATGTAATACAGTGTATATCTATTTTCAAATTATAATCAAATATAATTAATAGTTCCAAATATTTTTTCTTTTATTTGTCACAAACTAATATAGATTTGTAACTTATCTATAAAATGTCAACAATTTTTATCTACACAATGTAATGTAGTATATACATTAATAAGAATAGATTATTATCTAATTAAAGGATTTCACTTTATAATTTTTTTTATATATATAAAGCATTCAGAAAATTAGTTTATACAAAATAACAAACAACCTGCCAAAAAATTCTTCAAATAATTTACCAAAGAATGTCTTTTAAAAATGAGTTATCTCCTTTTGTACAGAAATATGGTTTAACATAGTACTCCAACATTAGATATGGTCCAGAGTTATGATCCATAACTCTGGACTAAATCATCAGACAGGAACAAAATTGGAACTTGATCTATAACTTGTCATGGCAAAACTATATACCAAATATCAAATCTATATCTTCAAGAACGAAGAAAAAAAGTGTGGAAAGCTGATTTGCCGGACTGACGGATGGACAGACGACGGACGGACAGACAGACGGACAGAGTGCAAACCTAAAGTCCCCTTCGACTTCGTCAGTAGGGGACTAATTAACCAGAACCCCCCCCCCCCCCCCCACCCCAATTAAGCAATAACCCCCAAACTCATCCCCAGCCTTCTCTTTGTAGTATGAAACCTTGTAGTACAAAGTCAGAGATATCCATACACTTACTCACAAGTAATTGTCCGGAAACTACAAAAATGCTTGTTTTTTGGCCCCTAATTTCTAAACTGTTGGTACCATAAGCTCCAGAATCAATCCAGACCTTCCTTTTGTGGTATTAAACCTTCTTGTAAAATTTCATACAGATCCATTCACTTAAACTAAAGTTATTGTCCGGAAACCAAATGTGTATTAGGACGATGACGACGCAGGCGACAACGCAGATGACGACGACATCATAGCATTATACGAACCCAAAAAATTTTTGCGGTTGTATAAAAATATGTTAGTGTTCGGTAAACAGGAAGTTGTTGAGTGATGAATCTAAAAACACATCACACGGTATAGCTGACTTACATAAATCCTGAAACCAAATTTCAGAAATCCTTATGATGTAGTTCCTGAGAAAGATGCAACGAAAAATATTCATGGGACATTAATAGTGTAAAAATATGTAAGTGTTCCTTAAACAGGAAGTTGTTGAGTGATGAATCTGAAAATGCATCCTAGGTATAGCTGACTTATATAAACCCTGAAACCAAATTTCAGAAATCCATATGATGTAGTTCCTGAGAAAGATGTGACGAAAAATATTCATGGGACGGACAGGCGGACTGACGGACAGACAGAGGTAAAACCATGAAAACAGTATACCCCCAATTTTTTAAAGCAAGGGTATAAATATGAAATCTACAAATTGTATATATATCCTGACTAATTCAGAGGGAGAAGAATCTCTAAATGTCTCGCCTTTTTGTTATTTTGATAGTAAAATGCAAATGTAAATAGTAATTCTTTAACATGTAAGTTATGCAAAATATTCAAAATCAATGAACCATGACTGAAGGTACAGGACCAATCAATATCCATGAAAATGGGATGCCAATGCTAATACATATGCATACCAAATATCACTGAATTACCACTAGTGGGTCCCCAATAGCAAGTCACAAACTAATACATGTTAACTAAGCATACGTTTCAAAGTCAATAGACCACGACTGAGGGGGCGGTGCCAAACAATCTCTATGGAAATGAAATGTGCCAATACTAATACAACTGAATACAAAATATCATTGACCTACCACTAGTGGTTCCCTACAAAGTGACCTAATCACAAACTAGTACATGTAAACTAAGAAAAAGTTTCAAAGTTAATAGACCATGACAGATGGGTGGGCCAAATTATCACCATGGACATGAGATCTGCCAGTGCTAATACAACTGCATACCAAATGTCATTGACCTACCATTAGTGCTTCCCCAATAACTGACCTAATAACAAATACATGCAAACTAAGCAAAAGTTTCAAAGTCAATAGACCATGACTGAGGGGGCAGGGTCAAACAATCACCATGGAAATGAGATGTGCCAATACTAAAAGAACTGAATACAAAATATCATTGACCTACCACTAGTGGTTCCCTATAAACTACCTAATCACAAGCTAATACATGTAAACTAAGCAAAAGTTTCAAAGTTAATAGACCATGACTGAGAGGCGGGGCCAAATGATCACCATGGAAATGAGATGTGCCAATACTTATATAACAGCATACAAATTATCATTGACCTACAACTAGCGGTTCCCCAATTACTGACCTAATCATAAACTAATACATGTAAACTTAGCAAAAGTTTCAAAGTCAATAGACCATGAGGGGGCAAGGCCAAATAATCTCCATGGAAATGAGTTTTGCCAATGCTAATACAATTGCATACCAAATATCATTGACCTACCACTAATAGTTCCCCACAAAACTGACCTAATCATAAACTAAAACATTGTTGCCGCCGCCGCCGCCACTGCCAAAAACAGCATACCTATGTCTCACTTTTTGACTCTGTCAAGGCGAGGCAAAAACAAAGTAACACAGACTGGCCTTGTTGACGTGTGTAGTCATGGAAGACTGGCCTCATGAACTTATGAAGCCATGCGAGACTGGCCTCATTAACTTGTGTAAATATATAAATATATGGATGGATCTGTCGTAGAGTTGTCACTTGTTTAGACGTACTTATCAAATAATTGTTTCCGTGACTGCATCTTACGACCCTTTACGATAGAAAATTTAGCTAATCTGCAATCAATTCCATCTTCATGCTTAATATATCCTGTACTGTGTTACAGGCATGAGGTAATGCAAATTTGTAATTGTAATGCATTGTAATGCATTACATTTTTCCAAGTAATTGTATGTAATGTGTAATGCAGCAATTTTTGCATTACATGTAATTGTAATTTAATGCATTACTTTAGCAAAAAGTTGTGTAATTTCATGCATTACATGACATTACTTTTTTCACATACTATATATCTTTAACAGATTGTTGGAGATTTAACTAAAGCAGAATTTAAGATTTCTTGATTAACTAAGAACATAATCATTTGAATATTGATTTTTCTATTTTCTATTTATTTTTCACACTTTACACTATACAGAATTTGGGGATTAAGCTTTGCCCCAGGTAAATACTAGAATGACCAAATTACAATTCTAAATGAATAAAACAATACTGAATATCATGTTGAGTTTTTTTTATATCATTTTATTTCATACATTTTCCTGCATAAAAAGATTGATATTTGAAAAGCATGACTTTAAAAGTGTTCAATTGTTGTCAAAAGATCAATGGATACTTACAGACAATTGAACTTTGTCATAAAACACTAATTAGTTTGTTTTAAAATCAATCTTTTAACCATTTTGATACTTGGTTAAGATCTATCATGTCTATGTTTATTTTATAATTAAGAAAGAAATTCTCAGTAAATATTTTGATTGAAATAAAAAAAAAATGTGTACATTTATAAAAGTAAAGTTAACATAAAGTATAAAATAAGTATGAAACTTCATCTCTGTAATATTTTTTTTAGAAAAAACACAGAGATGTACACCTTGAAACATAGAATGTGCATGAAGGATGAAACCTTCGAAACCCTTATGATGTTAAAATGTAATGGACTTTGTACATGTATACTAAAATTCAATACATGGAACAGTTACTGCATATGCTAGAATCTTTTGTGACTTCGCGTTGTTTTTTCGAAATATTTTATTTTTCTTTTCTCTTGATAATAAAATTTACTTATGTAATGTGTAATTCAATGCATTAATTTGCAAAAGTAATTGTAATTTAATGCATTACTTTGATAAATACATGCAATTGTAATTGTAATTCAGTTCATGGTTATGGCAAAGTAATCGTAATATAATGCATTACATTGCAATGTAATTTGCCCCATGCCTGCTGTGTTACAACTCTAGATTCTACTGACGAGGAAAGGTTACACTAGGCAACCAAAAGCTGAGTTCAGTCTAGGTGGCCGAGTGGTCTAGAGCGCTGGACACAGTGCAGGTGGTGTTGTCTCAATATCTCAATAGCATGAATTTCGAATACCGGTGAGGGAAGAACAAAAATTTGCTTCCGTAAATTTGCAGATTTAACATTGTTGTGCTGATAATTAGAGTAATTATATATATACATAACTAGACCACTCGGCCACATAGACTGAACTAATAATTCAGATTTCGGTGGCCTAGTGTTACCTTTCCTCGTCAGTAGAATCTAGAGTTGTAACACAGTACATGATATATTAGGCATGAAGATGGAATTGATTGCAGATTAGCTAAATATCTATCGCAAAGGATCATAAGATATATAAAATACTGTACTACCTATGACATCAAAATTATTGGGTTTAGACAAAAAAAAAATAACTTCAAAATCTAAGCTTACTTTCCAAATACTGTATACTTCATATCTAGATGTGGCTGTTTAGCATATGAGAAAAAAAACTGTGAACCATTAGAATCTGGACCATTGTTTGCCATGGAAACTACTCCTCTTACATTGTGCTGAAATATGAAAAATATCATTCTCTAGAAGAGTGCTCTCCCAGTGACTATCAACATATATATATCTATATATAAATGCCTAAGAATGTAACACTAATGAGTGTTATAAAAATAGTTGTTGTATCTTATATATTCACGCAATATTTTGCTAAACAAATTAGCTTCATTAGGCGCGTGCAGCCATCCAGGTAAAATACGATGCTATTAAGATATTTTTGCAGCTTATCGTACATGTCCTTTAAATATATTTTTGCAGCTTATTGTACATGTACAGTAAAAAAAATCATGTTGACTAAAATATCAATTAGTACACATCCAACATCAAATGGATTTAGTGTAAAGACTTCATTAACAGTCAGAGAAAAACAGGACCTAATAGGGACTTGAATCATTCACTTAGCAATTTTACCATTAATTGTTCAAGTGACGATAACGTCTGACAAAATCAGATGGGTTTTCATCAATCCCCTAAAGTTGTAAGCCATTCTAACTGATAGTTGTAAATATAAAAAAAAAAAAAAATGTGGTATGATTGCCAATGAGACAACTCTCAACCAGAGACCAAATGACATAGAAGTTAATAACTATAGGTCACCGTACAGCCTTTAACAATGAGCAAAACCTATACTGCATAGTCAGCTATAAGAGGCCCTGAAATGACAAATGTAAAACAATGCAAAGGAGAAAACTAACGGCCTGATTTATGTACAAAATAATGAAAGAAAAACAAATATGATATACAGCAACAAACGACAACCACTGATTTACAGGCTCCCGACTTGGGACAGGCACATACAGAATGTGGAGGGGTTAAACATGCTTGCGGGCACCCAACCCTCCCCTAACAGCACAATGTATGAACAAACTGTAATAAAATGCTCCGCTGGGGCGCAGCTTGATACCACTGCAGAGGTCGAACCCTGAACAGTTGGGGCAAGTATGGACACAACATTCAAGCTTGAATACAGCACTGAATTTGGATTGTAATTAAATATTTGACACAGCATAGGTTTCTGACACAGAATGAATGTGGTCTAAGAACTTAAAATTTTTTAATTAACCTATTCAAACCATATCATTATTATTCGCTTTTATATATAAATCAGAAATAACATTACCAATTTAAAGTGGAAAATTTTAAAGAAAAAAAAGGAAAAAAAAATCCCCCTCCAAATTTTTTGAACCCCCTTATGATTCATCACCCTAAAACTCAATCCCAGCCTTCCATTTGTGGTATGGTACCTTGCAGTACAATTTCAGAGAGATCCATACACTTGAACACAAGTTATTGTCTGGAAACTAGAAAAAATCTTGTTTTTTGGCCCCTTTTTGGCCCCAAATTCCTAAACGATTAGGGTAATTACCCCCAAACTCAAACCAAGCTTTCCCTTTGTGATATGGAACCTTGCAGTACAATTTTCATAAAGATCCATACACTTACAACAAGTTATTGTCCTGAAACTAGAAAAATGCTTGTTTTTTTGCCCCTTCATGGCCCTTAATTCCTAAAATTTTGAGGGAATTACCCCCAAAATCAATCCCAGCCTTCCCTTTGTGATATGGTACCTTTTAGTACAATTTCAGAGAGATCCATACACTTAAACACAAGTTATTGTCTGGAAACTAGAAAAATGCTTATTTTTGGCCCCTTTTTGGCCCCTTATTCCTAAACGTTTTGGGCAATTACCCCCAAACTCAATTCCAGCTTTCCCTATGTGATATGGAACCTTGTAGTACAATTTCATAAAGATCCATACACTTACACACAAGTTATTGTCATGAAACTAGAAAAATGCTTGTTTTTTGCCCCTTTTTGGCCCCTAATTCCTAAAATTTGGAGGCAATTACCCCCAAAATCAATCCCAGCATTCCCTTTGTGATATGAAACCTTGTGGTACAATTTCAGAGAGATCCATACACTAACACACAAGTTATGTCTGGAAGTTACAAAAATGCTTATTTTTGGCCCCTTTTTGGCCCCTAATTCCTTAACTGTTGGTATCATAACCCCCAAAATCAATCCCCACCTTCCTTTTGTGGTATTGAACCTTATGGTAAAATTTCATAGAGATATATTCACTTAAACTAAAGTTAGAGTGCGAAAACCAATATGTCTTCGGACGACGACGACGCCGGAAGACGACGACGACGACAACGTCATACCAATATACGACCACAAAATTTTTTTGCGGTCGTATAAAAATCAGTTGAAAGGGCTTAACTCATCAGAGCGATACAAAGCAGAAAAACAAGTAATAGAAACATAGACCAGATGTGGCCGGGTACTTATACATCCCCACATCAAAAATGACACTAAGTACAGATATGAGAGTACTCGCGGTTATTAACAGCTAGTTCAAAGCCAATAACAATTAATATAAAAATCATGTATCTAAGACTCAAACATCAATCAGTACACATCCAACATCAAATGGATTAAGTGTAAAGACTTTATTTACAGTTAGAGAAAAACAACCCTAACCCTAACCCTAACCCTAACCCTAACCCTGAATTTATGCAATGCAAAATACAGGTATCGACAGATTGTAGCACTGTGAATGTGCATATGTATATGTATATAACAATAATATTACTTTGGTGTTAATTTACTGATAACAAAATCAATATTTATACCAATAAAAACAATATTTAAAGATCTAATTACAGTGTTGAATTGGTTACCCTTTTAGACTATGTTATTTAAAGAATCGATAAGTTTACCTGGATCATATCTAAATTTCCAGGCTCGGTAAAAAACATCTCCGTAAAAATTAGGATGTGCTATCCTGATTGAAATAAGTTTTCTGCAGGTACAGCCAAACTCCAAAACCAAATCTTTATATCTATGGAAGAATCTAGTAAAGGTTTTAAGTAATTTGTGGTAACGAAATCCCTGACTTAAAAATTTACCAATTATACATAGATTACGCTCATCGAAATCCAAAACGTCACTACAGACACTGGCATAGCAAACAACTTGATATATATAAACACCATAAGTCTTTTTTGCAGAAAAGGAGAATCAAAACAATAGAGCACATGATAAAAATGTCATTTTTACTTATTGAATTCATGTTGAAAGTCTGTAATATGAAGGTTTTACTACAAGTATCACATAAACTTAACTTTATCAATGATCCAGGAAAATGAAGGCACGGTCGAAGTGAACAATGCCAGACAGACATGTACACCTAACAATACACCAAATATGGTCGTCCTATCACTTATAAAACCTGAGAAACAAATCAAACCACAAAATCTTAAAATTGACCAATGAACCATGAACCATGAAAATGAGATAACATGAACTCTGCTAAACAGACATGAACACCTTACAATCATTCAATACATCAAATAAAGTTGACCTGTTGTTTATAGAAACTGATAAACTAACATAACCACAAAAAACTATAATTGACCAATGAACCATGAAAATGAGGTCAAGGTCATACATGTTGTATGAAACCTGCCATACAGACAGGTACACCTTACAGTTGTTCCATACACAAAATATACTTGAAATATTGCTTTTAGTATCTGAGAAACAGACCAGCCCCGAAATTTAGAAACGATCCTGGTAAACTTATCGATCCTTTAAATAAACTTATTCTAAAAGGTTACCAATTCAACACTGTAACTAGATCTTTGAATATTGTTTTTATTGGTATTAATATCTATTTTGTTATCATCACGGTCATACACCAAATATAGAAGCCCTATTGCTTATTGTATCTGAGAAATAGACCAAACCACAAAAAAAAACATTGTCCAATGAACTATAGAATTGAGGTCAAAGTCAGATGAAACCTGCCAGCTGGACATGTACCTTACTATCATTCCATACACCAAATGTAGTTGACCTATTACTTATAGTATATGAGATATAGTCTTGACCATGTAACTTTAACCTAGATCACTGATCCTTGAATTGAGTTTGAGGTCAGGTGTACCCTACCTGATAGACATGTAGACCTTGTAAGGAACCTATATACCAAATATAGTTATCCTATTACTCATAATAAGAAAGTATTTCACTTTTTAAAAAAACAGTAATTTTTTTCAAGCAGTCACTGAACCATGAAAATGAGGTCAAGGACAATGGACATATGACAGACACAAATTTGTAACATAAGGTATCTGCATACAAGGATATGAAGCATCCAGGCCTTCTTGCTTCTGAAATAAAAAGCTTCATACAAATAGTTTACGCCGCCGCCTTTAGGTTGTAATCCCTATGTCTCGCATTCTGTGACTTTCTTTGCAGGTGAGACAAAAATTGGTCTCTGGCTGCCATGTTCAGTCCTAATTGTTCCAGTGACAATTATTTGAGGATATTTTCTCTTAAATAACCTACACAGGACTAAAATTGGAATACCATGAAGTTAAGTATATTTATCATTTCCTATTAAAATAAATTTGCTCCAAGTAAAGTTATATACTAGGGATGTCAATGAGTACTCGAGTATTCGAGTATCGCTCGGTAGAACCGAGTATCGAATACCAAAACGATACTCGACTAATCGGTTTCCTGTTAGAATATTGCTGTCTTCTTTATATAAATTTGATCTTCTTGGAAAAATTAAATAGGCATGACTGATTAATCATACTAGTACATGTAAATAAAATACATTTTGTTTCGAATGCTTGTGCTAAATTGTCATTTAAAATGCCTCCAAAAATACGTGGGCTATACCTAGTCTAACACTTTAAATTAAAAATGTCGTAGCCATTCCGTCACATCGGTACCGTAAGAGCAAATATTTTCGTTTGCAAGACTGTTAGTTACAAAATTGCAAAACCGACTGTCCCCAATAATAGTTGACAAGAAAATGTTTCCAAATAAAATAAATTTGTTGCATCCTCTGGTGACCCTCAGTAAACAGTTAAACTTCTAATCCTTACGCCTTTGTAAACATTAAATGTGTTTTCTTAACGATTACCAAATACTATTGTTTGATATGGTTTTTCCTTGTTATAATTTTTATATACTGTGGATTCATTTATTTTCGTGGGTACCAATTTTCGTGGATTAAGGAAAACTTACATGTTCGTGGATATTTAATTTCGTGGTTTTGCCGAAGTCTGCATATAAGCCTATAGAAAATTTGTCATTCATCGAACATTTAATTTCGTGGTTCACCTGTAACCACGAAATCCACGAAAATTGGTATCCAACGAATAATAATGAATCCACAGTAGGTGGTCATTAAATTATATTGATTAGATTATTGTTTTTTACTTAATTAGTACTTGTAAGTAATGAGCTTTTAATTATAGTGTGTAATTCCTTGTTCCAGATACTTATGTAGATGGTTTTTTGTCCGTTGATCAACTGTTACAAACCACAGAATGTAAAATACGTATTTTTGTGTTTCCATGTTGTAAATATATTCCCGAGGGAGTACTCGAGTATCGCTCGATAAAACCAACGAGTACTCGATTAGTAATTGTTCGAAGAGTTGACATCCCTATTATATATAGATGGTTCATTCAAATATAAGTAAAGATAAAAGAATCTGTGTACATATTAGAGAGAGAGTTCAGGATATGGGACAACAGATCACAGGACTTACTTTAAGATTATCTCAGATTCAGAATTTTGGACAACAGATCACAGGACTTACATTAAGACTATCTCAGATTCAGAATATAAGACAACAGATCACAGGACTTACTTTAAGATTATCTCAGATTCAGAATATAAGACAACAGATCACAGGACTTACTTTAAGATTATCTTGGATTCAAAATCTGGGAAAACAGATCACAGGACTTATTTTAAGATTATCTCATATTCAGAATCTGGAACAACAGATCACAGGACTTACTCTAACATGTTTTAGATTATCTCGGGTTCAGAATCTGGGAAAACAGATCACAGGACGTACTTAAAGATTATCTCAGAGTTCAACTGAGACAACAGATCACAGGACTTACTTTAAGATTATCATGATTATCTCAGAGTTCAGAATCTGGAACAACAGATCAAAGGACTTACTTTAAGATTATCTCAGATTCAGAATTTGGGACAACAGATCACAGGACTTACTTTAAGATTATCTCTGAGTTCAGAATCTGGGACAACAGATCACAGGACTTACTTTAAGATTATCTCGGAGTTCATCTTCAAATTTCTGGCCCCATATACTGTTACCACCTTTACCTGTTCCTAAAAAATTCAAATAAAACAATCACAGCATATCTTATTTAACATGTTCCATATGGCGTTATTCATTTATATGAAACTTACTATGAAAAGGTACTTTTGTTCATTTCATACCAAATAAAATGGATTTCAAGGTCACATTAAACAACAAATGTAATATTAAAATAATAAAATAAACAGCTTTTCAATGTTCCCCACTGATGCACTTGTCCAAGGCATTATTGATATAAACATGTGATATAAATTTTATTAAAAATTTTCGAGAAATACTAGTATAGGCTTGAGAGGGCAATGTTTAAAATAATTTATATTTCAAAAGGGCATATTATAAATAGTTGATCAACACTGCTCTTAGTTCTTCTGATACATTGCTGATATAAACCTTTGATATGAATTTCATAAAAATCTTGCAAGAATTGTACAAGTAAGAGCACTTACAAGACTGGACAGACACATGGGAGGACACCCAGTATTTCGTGTACTGTTGTTTGTCTTTTATCGTTTTTAGTTATTTGCCATTGCATTGTCAGTTTGTTTTCAACTTACGAGTTTGTATATCCCTATGGTATCTTTTTGCCTTTCTTTTATGGTAAAAATTCACTATTAAAGAGTTATAAAAAAATATGCATATAGTGAATCTGAACAAAAAATGGCTGTATATATCAGACTTTGACACATCAGGACAGTTTGCCTTTATTTTCTTAAGGTATGAAGACCATTTTCAAAACTGAAGTCATATACAGGTGTAATACCACCAAATCATAGTACGTCACATCCGGTTGCATACGAAAATAGGTCGAAAAAAAATATTCCCTTTAATTTGACAGTTGTAGGTAATTGATCCTACATTTCATTGCAGTAAAACATTTCTGGGTCATAAACATATATCTTTGGTATTTCACAGCACCATTATTTTTTTATTTGGGGTTTCTATAGAATATTTTGGAAACTTGAGGTTACATGGTTACTAAAGCTTGTACACAGGTTAAAAAAGGGGGAAAATTTGATTGGTTAAATTCCAGTGATGGTTATTTTCTTATATGCAATGAAATGTTATGTGAAATTTTTTCTATAGTACTGGACAGGACCAAACTTTACTCATGCCAAGTATTTCTTTATTTGAAACAAAGATAAATTCTGCACAATTTTTTGAAAAGTGCAAATTTAACAAAGACTAATCTAGGGGAAAATCAATGGTGGTATTACACCTAATATGGGAAGCTGTACATGCACCTTTGACCTTGTGAGTACTCTCATGTGTTAAAATTTCTTGCTATTTAAGTGAAATATTACTAATAATGAAATATTCTGAGTGGATTGAGTCTCCAAAACACATTTTATGAGAAAATTTCCTTGAAATAGGACTTTACCATGAATATTAGTTGACAGAATAAGCCATACTTAGAGTTTTGGGGAGCTTTTTCTCCTTTTTTCTTATATTCTGCTATACTAGAAAATTGTTCCTAAGAAATACTTTAATAAATATATAGTTTTAAGTAAATGAAGTTATTTTTAAAGCAGTAACAACAAATTTATAATTCACCAAAAGAGAAGCTTTTTATGTCCCTCTCTGGAACGCGGCGTTAATTTAAGTTTTACGTAAGGACTTATTGAAACCTCCTTGGAGACAGTAAACTTTTATACGGATAGTTCATTCAGCTTGAATACTTCAATTAATCATTTATTATAATATTTCTATCATAAATGAGTGAAAGTTACCCCAAAATTTTTATTTATTGGCCTATAAAGTAGAAATTTTGAGGAAATGAGAGGTATAAATGGACCAAAAGAGACCTTATAAGGAAGACAAAGAGGTCCATTAGTAGTATTTATCATCCTAAAGTCATCTTTTGTATCATATTCAACTGTTTGTAGGCAGATGAGATAAATATTTAATCATTTATTGGTCCACACTATATTCTATCATGATGCGGCTTGGTTTGGATTTTTCGAAGAAATTTAGCTTGAATCGCTGTAGATGTCGTCTTACATTATACTAGATTTTTCTCAAACTATTGAACTGATTATGACAAAACTTGACAGGAATGCTTGAAATAACCAGTATTACAAAGGAAAAAAGTCACATTCAGTTTATTTAACAAAAAAGCCTTCTTTAGGTGTAATACCACCAAATCATAGTACGTCACATCCGGTTGCATACGAAAATAGGTCGAAAAAAAATATTCCCTTGAATTTGACAGTTGTAGGTAATTGATCCTACATTTCATTGCAGTAAAACATTTCTGGGTCATAAACATATATCTTGGGTATTTCACAGCACCATTATTTTTTTATTTGGGGTTTCTATAGAATATTTTGGAAACTTGAGGTTACATGGTTACTAAAGCTTGTACACAGGTTAAAAAAGGGGGAAAATTTGATTGGTTAAATTCCAGTGATGGTTATTTTCTTATATGCAATGAAATGTTATGTGAAATTTTTTCTATAGTACTGGACAGGACCAAACTTTACTCATGCCAAGTATTTCTTTATTTGAAACAAAGATAAATTCTGCACAATTTTTTGAAAAGTGCAAATTTAACAAAGACTAATCTAGGGGAAAATCAATGGTGGTATTACACCTAATATGGGAAGCTGTACATGCACCTTTGACCTTGTGAGTACTCTCATGTGTTAAAATTTCTTGCTATTTAAGTGAAATATTACTAATAATGAAATATTCTGAGTGGATTGAGTCTCCAAAACACATTTTATGAGAAAATTTCCTTGAAATAGGACTTTACCATGAATATTAGTTGACAGAATAAGCCATACTTAGAGTTTTGGGGAGCTTTTTCTCCTTTTTTCTTATATTCTGCTATACTAGAAAATTGTTCCTAAGAAATACTTTAATAAATATATAGTTTTAAGTAAATGAAGTTATTTTTAAAGCAGTAACAACAAATTATTCACCAAAAGAGAAGCTTTTTATGTCCCTCTCTGGAACGCGGCGTTAATTTAAGTTTTACGTAAGGACTTATTGAAACCTCCTTGGAGACAGTAAACTTTTATACGGATAGTTCATTCAGCTTGAATACTTCAATTAATCATTTATTATAATATTTCTATCATAAATGAGTGAAAGTTACCCCAAAATTTTTATTTATTGGCCTATAAAGTAGAAATTTTGAGGAAATGAGAGGTATAAATGGACCAAAAGAGACCTTATAAGGAAGACAAAGAGGTCCATTAATAGTATTTATCATCCTAAAGTCATCTTTTGTATCATATTCAACTGTTTGTAGGCAGATGAGATAAATATTTAATCATTTATTGGTCCACACTATATTCTATCATGATGCGGCTTGGTTTGGATTTTTCGAAGAAATTTAGCTCGAATCGCTGTAGATGTCGTCTTACATTATACTAGATTTTTCTCAAACTATTGAACTGATTATGACAAAACTTGACAGGAATGCTTGAAATAACCAGTATTACAAAGGAAAAAAGTCACATTCAGTTTATTTAACAAAAAAGCCTTCTTTAGGTGTAATACCACCAAATCATAGTACGTCACATCCGGTTGCATACGAAAATAGGTCGAAAAAAAATATTCCCTTGAATTTGACAGTTGTAGGTAATTGATCCTACATTTCATTGCAGTAAAACATTTCTGGGTCATAAACATATATCTTGGGTATTTCACAGCACCATTATTTTTTTATTTGGGGTTTCTATAGAATATTTTGGAAACTTGAGGTTACATGGTTACTAAAGCTTGTACACAGGTTAAAAAAGGGGGAAAATTTGATTGGTTAAATTCCAGTGATGGTTATTTTCTTATATGCAATGAAATGTTATGTGAAATTTTTTCTATAGTACTGGACAGGACCAAACTTTACTCATGCCAAGTATTTCTTTATTTGAAACAAAGATAAATTCTGCACAATTTTTTGAAAAGTGCAAATTTAACAAAGACTAATCTAGGGGAAAATCAATGGTGGTATTACACCTACATGTAAATGCATGTATTCATTTGTTTTGAAAAATAAATGAAACCCTAATTTAATATTTCTTTTTACACAAAAGTAATATTCCTTGTACATGTATCAAAAATATTAAAAGTATGTGTTTTTTCTTCTTCTAAAAACAAATTTTATTAACATATCAACATGTATTAATAGGTACATCAAGTACCTGTACCTTCTTCCGTCCTCGTTATAATTAGTACATGTATAGAGCATATGATAAGTTTTGTTAGTAAACAGATTGACATTAATCAGGATAAGTTATGTCTTCACTTGACTTATTTTTCATTATCAATTGTATTGTTTATATAAACCTTTAATTTTAACACCTATTGCATACCTGTCTGTAGTTTGAAACATTTGATATTTCTATTTACCTGTTAGATCACCTGCCTGTAGTGTGAAACCTTGGATATTTCTATTTACCTGTTGGATCACCTGTCTGTAGTGTGAAACCTTTAATATTTCTATTTACCTGTTAGATCACCTGCCTGTAGTGTGAAACCTTTAATATTTCTATTTACCTGTTAGATCACCTGTCTGCAGTGTGAAACCTTGGATATTTCTATTTACCTATTAGATCACCTGCCTGTAGTGTGAAACCTTAAACATTTCTATTTACCTGTTAGATCACCTGTCTGCAGTGCGAAACCTTGGATATTTCTATTTACCTATTAGATCACCTGCCTGTAGTGTGAAACCTTTAATATTTCTATTTACCTGTTAGATCACCTGTCTGTAGTGTGAAACCTTTAATATTTCTCTTTACCTGTTGGATCACCTGCCTGTAGTGTGAAACCTTTAATATTTCTATTTACCTGTTAGATCACCTGTCTGTAGTGTGAAACCTTTAATATTTCTATTTACCTGTTGGATCATATGTCTGCAGTGTGAAACCTTTCAAATTTCTGTTAAACCTTTGAGATCACCTGTTTGCAGTGTGAAACCTTTAATATTTCTATTTACCTGTTGGATCACCTGTCTGTAGTGTGAAACCTTTAATATTTCTATTTACCTACTAGATCACCTGCCTGTAGTGTGAAACCTTTAATATTTCTATTTACCTGTTAGATCACCTGTCTGCAGTGTGAAACCTTGGATATTTCTATTTACCTATCAGATCACCTGCCTGTAGTGTGAAACCTTTAATATTTCTATTTACCTGTTGGATCACCTGTCTGCAGTGTGAAACCTAAGATATTTCTATTTACCTGTTGGATCACCTGTCTGCAGTGTGAAACCTTTCATATTTCTATTTACCTGTTGGATCAAATGTCTGCAGTGTGAAACCTTTAATATTTCTATTTACCTGTTGGATCACCTGTCTGCAGTGTGAAACCTTTCATATTTCTATTTACCTGTTGGATCACCTGTCTGTAGTGTGAAACCTTTAATATTTCTATTTACCTGTTGGATCACCTGTCTGTTGTGTGAAACCTTTAATATTTCTATTTTCCTGTTGGATCACCTGTCTGTAGTGTGAAACCTTTAATATTTCTATTTACCTGTTGGATCACCTGTCTGCAGTGTGAAACCTTTCATATTTCTATTTACCTGTTTGATCACCTGTCTGTAGTGTGAAACCTTTAATATTTCTATTTACCTGTTGGATCACCTGTCTGTAACATGAATCCTTTAATATTTCTGTGAAATATGCATCCATTATAGTAATCACTTGCACACAATGCTAAAAAATTCTGTAAAAAAACCAAGTCACTTAGGTAAATAATATTAATATCTGTACTGTAGTAATAGACTTAAATAAGGTAATTATTGATGTAAATTATTTCACTAAACCCAGGTTTACTCCACTGTTAATTATAATTACTGAAGTACTGTCCTGAACGAGCCTGTTTAACCCAGGTTTACTCCACTGTTATGAGTTGTCAAATTGTAGCAAAGTTAGAACTAAGAGGCCTGTGTCACTCCTCTACATCGTCAACCATGGCCACTTTTTGGTAAAAATCATAATGAAAGGGCAATAACTCTACTGACAATTTCAGTCATGTTGACATATTTGTAGATCTAGTCCTGACTCCTGCTGATCATGTTTGCTTTATAAAGTTTCTATCTGCATTTGTATGTATTATACTTTTCAACATGTTCAAGATAATAGATAAAATCTCCAAAAAATGGCAAACATCATCTTTAAAGGGCAATAACTCCAATAACAAGTCAACTTAAGATTTCAGCTGTGAGATCTTGTCTTGCTGATCATTTTCGCTATTTTAAAAATTGTTTTTTTATCTATTATAGTTTTCAAAATAATAGGCAAAATGCAAAAAAATTTGGAAAAGTTGTCATTATAGGCAATAACTTCAATAAGGAATAGACTGATAATTTCTATCATGAAAACTTATTTGCAGATCTTGATTTGTTGATCATTTTGGCTTTTAAAGTTTTGATCTATCTATCTATCTATTATAGTTTTAAGATATTAAAGGGGCACTAGCTGTCAAATTCATGCTCACCGATTTGACTCAAATTCTCATATTTGATTTATAACAATGTAAAATATTTATCCAAACTATTAAAAGTCTAAAATAAACAATTTAATGGGCATGGGCTCGATAATATGTAGCTTCATTTCATGTGTATTTTAGTCTAGACGCCATCTAATTAACTATCAAGTTGACCTCCAAAGACCTCCGAGACCATATAAGCGATGTAAACATAAATATAGGTATAAATAGATTAAGCGAACTCGTGCAATTGGATTTTTCTAGGTCTGTTTAATTTCATATTATAGATTAAAAATATATGTTTATCATTGTTTTTACCTGTACAAGAATGATTTTTTGTGGATTGAATCAGTCAATCAAATGATTTACCTTTGTTTCACTTTCAATGTTGACATTCCTTTCCTTTAAATAATGTTACATGCACAATTCATGCGTTATCCATCTCAAGCTTCGGGTTAAATTGAAGTTCACATGAATATGGATTCAATGAGGTCGAATTATTCACTTGCAAGTGAATAATTCATCATCAATATTTTCGCTTATTTTGACAAAATTGAATCATAGTGGCTGCTAAAGGCGAATAATTATTTCACTATTTCACTTTCATTAATGATTGAACAAAAAAAAATCATATTTTAGATTTTTTTTATATCTAGTAGCTAGTGCCTCTTTAAACAAAAACACAAAAATTTTTAAGAAATCATCATTCAAGAGCAAGAACCCCAATAAGGAATTGTCTGAGGATTTCAGCCATGCTAACTTATTTGAAGATCTCATCTTGCAGATAATTTTTTCCCCTACATTGTATGTTCTATTTTAAGCCATGTCAGCCATGTTGGTTGGCAGGCAGGTCATTGGACATATTTTTTAAACTAGATACCCCAATAATGATTGTGGCCAAGTTTGGTTAAATTTGCCCCAATAGTTTCAAAGAAGATTTTTATAAAAGTTAAGGACGACAACTAGCATGACTAGGTCAGCTAATAAGCCAGTCAAAGTATTATCTGATGACAAAGCAAAAATCTATCCTTTAATTACCTCACATGTGACTGGACAGCTCTCACAGAACAATTCAATCTTTATATCTCCAAGGTCTGTGTGAAGAGTCACAGACTAAAAATAGTAAAAATAATATCTTTATTACCTACAACACACATGATACATACCAGTCAACTTCTAAACATCTTCAGGAGGTATTTTAAGCAAGAGTAAATATGTGCTTATTTGTGGTGTATGGTGACCTATAGCTGCTTACAATCGCATCCTATGGTCTCTGTTGGATAATTGTCTCATTGGCATTCATACCACATCTCCTTATTTTCATATTCAATACCTTTCTGACTCTTTTGGATGCCTGTTTTAAAGTTTCAGTTTATACAATGGAGCAATTTCAAGTGTAAAGTCAACAATTCACATGGGGGAAATCCCACCATAAATAGGGAAAATTGACAGGTCTGAGACAATAGGATAAAAGTTTAAAATATTCTATGCTTAATTGTGTGTCTGCTTGATTACTCGTATATAGGTACCTTGTTGATGTGTACAGTTCAAGAAAATATAATTCTTAGAATATATGATAGATCAGGCAAATGCTTTTCAATGCTTTTTTCATTTCTGTTTTTTATTTGAAATGACTTTCCAAATTAATTGGTTACTTTACTTAACAAACACTGAAACAAGATCAAACCTTTTTCACACGATTTTTAGTTGGTTTTTTTTTAATCTTTATTATTTTGTTTTAATATACATGTATTTCCTTATTAACATGATTAACCTTGTTCATGTGGAGAGATCAAGAAAAATAATTCTTAGAATGTACATTAAAACTTGATTATAGCGAACACACTTATAGTCAATTTACGCTTATAAATCTATCATAAATGCATGGCAAAATGTCTGGATATAACGAATTTGTTTACAGCGAAGTTTCTGATATAACGAACATGACGAATGATTTCTAAATCCTCGTAATCAATATATTCTTTCCTCTATATCGTCCTCCAATAGTTGGAGTACACCAAGCTTTAAAACCATGTAAAAGTTGGTTAATAATAAAATGAATACTCAGGAGCCTCTAGCCTTTGTTAGTCTTGTATTATTTTTAATTTTAGTTTCTTGTGTACAATTTGGAGTTTAGTATGGCGTTCATTATCACTAGTATATATATTTGTTTAGGGGCCAGCTGAAGGACGCCTCCGGGTGCGGGAATTTCTCGCTGCATTGAAGACCTGTTGGTGACCTTCTGCTGTTGTCTGTTCTATAGTCGGGTTGTTGTCTCTTTGACACATTCCCCATTTCCATTCTCAATTTTACTAAAACATTATGTACAATTAAATCCCTGTAAAATAACTTCTATGTACATGTTCATTAAAATCTGGTTCTCAGTTTAAACATGTTAAAAATTAATGACAAAAGGTTAAGCTTAAATACAATTTACAAGGCATGTGTAGAATTTTTTTTGGTAAAAAAAAAATGGGCATTTGAGTGACAATCAACTTGTGGTTTATCTGTTCAAACCTATTACCTTTGAACATTTGTCTTTGGGTTGAAATAAGCCATACAATTATAAACTTGTAAACTTATATGGGTTCCGGTTTGGTGCACTGATAACCCTGAAAACTTGTTAAAAACTCAAAAAAATGAAAGATATTACCCGAAAAACTCTAATTTATATGGATTTTTATTGCAAATATTGATAATAAAGACTATAACTTTGAGATTAATGTCATTTTTGAACAATTGTTGTGTTCTGTATGCCAGTTCCTTGAAAACAAAATAGTGGATAACTCTATCCAATAAATACATTGCTATATAGTTATACAAGGAACAATTTAGAGTCATATTCCTAAAGTTAAATATTCCTTAATTGAGTAAAAGTGACATATATATATATATATCTCAAAGTTATTGTCTTTGTTATATATAAGCTGTGTTTAACCATATGCATTATAGTTTTTGGATATAAAATCTATCAGTGTTCATGTTTTTAACCAGTTTTCAGCAGTTTTTGGGTTGTCAGGGTACTGATTCCAGTTCTTCTTCAGTTAAAGAAAACCATCAACATACATTGTACATGTACTGGTGTTTACTTTTGGTAAATGTTTCCAAATTTATTAATTGTTATCAAAATATAGACTCTCAAATGTATTGTTTGATTTAAATGTTACATGTACATGTATATATAGTATTTATTGTTTAGTCATATCTTTTTTTATAATTAATTTTTCTTTTGTTTTAGATTGTCATACATGTGATGGACTGTGAAACTCAGATCAGGAGATTGGGAAATTTTGGTTAGGAGATTAGGACTCAGATCAGGAGGTTTTTTATCAACATAAATTTTGTCTTAAAGGTACTGTGTGATGTACTAAATTGTCTTTTAAAGTGTTTTTTCTTCAACTTTCCATCTGAATGTAATATGTTTATAGTACCCTTGTACTATTAAATTTTCTTTAAATTTATTCATCCTCTCATTCTTTTTTTTTTTTTTTTGGAAGTTTTGTAATTTCATCTAACTTTTGTTTGATCATTATTCAATAAAACATTCCCTGAATAGATTATTTTTTTTTAATTTTCTTTCATGCAAATGAAACTTAAGTTAACTTTACTTGAGGTCATACTTAATATATAAATTTCAATTTAAGCCTTGAAAAGAAGTATATAGAACCCTCAAATAATTTCCAAATTATTATTTTTTATTTGTCCTAAGACATCTAAAATCATTTAATTATCATCCTTTTATGATTATTTGTTCAATTTATATTTCATTTATATTCTTTTAACAATTTACATTATTTAAAGGAAAATAATTTAAACAGCATAAAGCAAGGGAAGTAACCCAAAATTTATTTCAATTATTTTTAAATACACAAAGTTTTTATTACACAACGGCAGTTAGCCTGAGGTAAAAATCGTTGATTACCTGTATGTTTGACACCCAAGCTGGCAAGTGAAGCCATATAATTATGCATGTTCTTTGATTTAAAGGGTAAAATTTAACTTCAGGTAATGTCAGTTACACCGGGGATATGGCGGCTGAAAGTTTTCATTCATGAAATATTTTATACACATGATTTTTTTCTCTTCAACAGGAGGACAGGAGGAGACCCCTGAAAACGGGATTTTTGTACTCCCGTCGGGAGTTTCACATGTATGGATTGTATGTTTTATTTTATTTTCATAATTTCATTTTTTTAATTAGTTTAATATGTTTAAGATAAGTTTTTGTTATATAAAGCCCCCCTAAAAGCATTCAGAGGCCTTGTCATCACTGTTAAATCTGACAGGTTATTTAATTATTCAATGTGAAAAATAGTGTTATCTCTGTGAAGTCCTATTAAAACTGTTTCTTGATAAGATTTAAGGTTCATCATAACAAACGGACAAATATGGCTGTATTTACATGCCAAAAACTACTCTTAGTACAGACTTACCTGTCCAGTTGGAAAAGTTTTAATGCCTGGCATCCACTAGATATATAAAAGTTAAATGCATTTTGTGTTTCAGAAAATTAAAATCTCTTTTGGATTTTGATGGGCATTTTTTTTCCTTCATGCAGAAGGTATAAAAAATAACTAAGTTGTGATACAACTTTGAGATGCTCCCTCTCAGGTAAAAACTGTATTGTATTGATTGTCCTTGATTGACATAGACAACAGGTATCTACACAACTATAGGTGAGTTAAAGGGTTTAACTGAGTGGACAGTATCAAAGTAATTGAGGTGTTTGTTTATTTTTACACCTTATATATATCTAGTGGATGCCAGGCCTTAAAACTTTCCCAATTGGACAGGTAAGTCTGTACTCAGAGTAGTTTTTAGTGTAAAATACAGCCATATTTGTCCTTTTGTTATGATGAACCTTAAAGTGACCTCTCTACAAAGAAAGGAATGTGACCTTTACATGCTTTAGGCCTGTTCTATGTTCCTTTGGAAATTCAACTAAAGATGAAGGACTGGATCTTCCATCACTGTATTGGATACCCAAACTACATAACTGCATAAATGTCCTTACAAACAACGCTATATACCTTTTCACAGGTTACTGGTAACACCTGCTCATATTATAAATAAAGGTAGGCCGAGTTTGTTATAGTCTGAGTTTGCTATATGCCAATGTTTTTTTTAGGCCGAGTTATGCAGCAGCGATAATTGAATGTAGGACAGAAAGTCACAGCACAATTCAGTTTTGAGATTATTTTTCTTTGAACAAGAAAAAACTAATTTAAAAAGAAATATCTTGGTTTATTTCTTAAACTTTTATTCATAAAGCAACTTTGTATTTAAAATTTATGTAATAAATATTAATAATGATCAAATAAATGCTATGAAAACAAAATGTCAAAGAGGCTTGATCTTTAAATGGCTTCATGGTGCCAAGAAATATATCCTTTGCACGATTAAAATTTAATAAATTTTCATTTAGTAAAGCTTATGAACAATTCCCCAAACTTAAAAATGAATATATGTGATAAAAAGAAAATATTTGCAGATCTTTCTCTTATATATTCAAACAATTGTCAACAAACTGTTTGTGACTTTTTGTCCTATCGAATTTGTGACTTTATAATGTCCTGTGACTTTCTGTCTGTTTACCCGATAATTTATACAAACTTCGTCCTCTTTCACAGAATGACAGTAACATCTGCCAGATACTTTAGTATAGACTGTCCCTGCACCTGCCTTGAGCTGGTAAGCATACTTATAGGCAACACCACTACCAGATAGAAGTAAGCCAGAAAAACGTTCATCTTTACATTTGGTATCATGATGGGCATAAGGGGGGGGGGGGGGTTATCTGCACGGAAGAACGCGAAATACAAATTGCCATTTCACGATGAACGAAGAATTAAAAATTTCTTGCACGTTCATCTTTTACCGATTTCACGAAACACGGTGAATAACGAACATTTTTCACGGCTGCACGTGAAATAAAAATGGCAAAACACGTTGAACGAAAATAACCCTTTTCTACCCTCTATGATATATAGAATTTCTGTATCATGTTTTATAATTCATTGAAAGATCAAATAAAAGCTACCATATTAGTTATCTCCGTAATCTTGCTAGGAAGAAATCAACCGGAAACTTTGTGTTGTTTGTAAAATAAAACTATTCCAGATATGAACATGTAAAAAATGCGGTCTCACTATTTAGAGACAAGACGGATTTAGGAAGCGACAAGAAGAGTCGAAAAGCGACAAAAAGTAATTTTTAGACCATTTTTGTCTATACATTATTCCTGTTGCCCATTGCAACCCATTATTCTCTATTCTTTATTATTTTTGCCAAGTTTTCTCTTTCCTTTATTTTGTTTTGCTCTTTATTCTGCACTTTCGACCATCATTCTCCAAGTTCTTTATAAACTTTTTAAAATTTTGTTGCTATTTTAACTTTGCTCCGATTTTCTGATACTTAAATACAGTACAGGGAGGTCTCTTCCTATATAAAGGTTAACACGTACGTGCCTGCTGGTAGGAATGTCAAATACATCCAAAGGGTGCACTTTCGCGGTGGTAATATAACAAAGGGTAGAAATTTATATGTCAATCAGTAGGTCATAGATTTTCAGCTTCTTTTGTCCAATAATATTTGGTTATAACACATATATATGTTTTATAGTAGTCTCAGATAATATGAATGATCCCATATGGTTTACAACTAAAGATGTCAGATTGTATTTTAATAGTTAGGATAGTATATTAATCATGTTAATGGAGTATGATTTTCAATAATATTCTCCGGAAACATTCAAGACATAAATGTATATCTAATACATTTGATATAAAGAAACTATACTCATTTTCCTAGTAAATTTATTCAACTTATAAATAGATTTTTATAACTAGGAAACCTGAATTTTCATTTTCAATTATATTAACTCATTTTCAGGAGAGTTCCCGAAATATATTTTGAATTATAATATTTCGTTTATTTGATTATGGACAAAGAGTTAAACGTCCTAAGACTTTGCTTACGTGAGCTTAAATAGTACATGTTCGGAATTTTATCAAGCAGAAAAATGAAGTAATTGAATAACTTTCCTATGAAAATAAATACCAGACATATATGACTAACCATGGACTTATTTTCCTAGAAAATTCTATCCGGGCGCTTAGCTTTCCAGTAAAGCCTCTATACATATGGGTGGATTTAGTTGTCTCCAAAACATACATGTTGATGAAAATAAAAAGATGTGGTATGATTGCCAAATGTTAGAAATCACATGAAAATAGGCGAAATTGTCTCCTTTGAAACTACTAGTCAGTTTGAAACTGTTTCGTGGATTGTCCCGAACTTTGAGTTTATCAACCAATCGGATGCAGAGGCTTTTTATTTAAATCATGATAATATGAAACAATCATATGGTGGAATCAAAACTCATGAAGGTTACAGATAAAAAAAAATATTATACGTTTATACGTCAGACTTGATCTATTATAAAAAAAAAAAATTGCAGCGTTTTAACGAAGTCGCTTTGATTCAAAGGAAGGTAACTTCTTATTTTAGATCTGTCTATTCCTATTTGAATTATTCCAATTAAACAAATACCTAAAAAAAAATGTTTTTTTTACAATAGGTCAAGTCACGTATAAACGTATAATATTTACAGGCCAAGATAAATAAGTAAATATAGATTATAATAAGTCCGGTATGTATTTAACAAAAGATTAAAATAATAATCTTATCTGGTTGACGGTCGGAGTCTTTGGCATCATCATGGAATCACATTAAAGAGTTAAATCCAAAAATGGATAATATGTTTCCACCTAAAATGCAGTATGAAAATCAAACTGTTTATAACCCCAAAGATATTGTTAATACACTAAATGTTCATTTTTCTTCCGTAGCTGAAAAACTTATTGGAAATAATACTAAAAATTTCAGATATGAATTTTTCTAAGCTACAAACTTTTACTAGTACAAAATTAAAGGAAACTGAAATTTTTAGATTAAAACTCATTTCTGTTGGAGAGGTGTGTTCACAACTAAAACACCTTAATATTAATAAATCCGCAGGTTTAGATGGAATTGGTCCAAAACTTTTAAAGCTAAGTGCAGAGATAATATCGCCATCACTAACTTTTCTAATAAACAAAAGTATAACGTCGAATCGTTTTCCGCAAAAATTAAAACTTGCAAGAGTAACTGCTATACATAAAGGAGGACCAACAGATATTCCCTCCAATTATCGTCCAATTTCTATTTTAAATACCATATCTAAAGTTTTTGAGAGACATGTATGTACACAGTTATATGCATTCTTAAATAATAAAAAAAATGTTACATATCGCTCAGTCAGGTTTCAGGCAAGGTCATTCATGTCAAACAGCGCTGACTAAACTAATTGATGAATGGTTAAAATATTTAGACAATGGAGAAATAGTTGGTACTGTGTTTTTAGATTTCAGTAAGGCTTTTGATCTTATTAACCATGCCATACTTTTAGAAAAGTTAAAATTTTATGATATCAGAGAACATTCGATAGATTGGATAAAATCATATTTGTCTGAGAGACAACAAGAAGTTCAATACGCTAACATTAAATCTGATAAATCGTTTGTAAAATATGGAGTGCCTCAAGGTTCTATTTTAGGTCCTCTGTTATTTTTAATTTATATAAATGATTTACCACTTCATGTTAAACAATCCGACATGGATTTATATGCTGATGATTCAACATTGCATTTTCATAATAAAAACATTGAAAAAATAAACAGCATATTGCAAAATGATTTAAATGCTATACAATCTTGGTGTAGCAATAACAGTATGAATATTAACGCACAAAAAACAAAGTGTATGAAATTGGGTTCAAAACAAAAACTTACACAACTATCAGAATTATGTATTACCGTCAATGAAACATGTATTGAAAATGTCCATTCTTTCAAATTACTTGGAATTGACATTGATGAAAATTTAAGCTGGGAGGATCATGTTGATCGTATATGCAAGATTATCTCATCTAAAATATCACTTTTGTTTAAAATTAAAGTATATTTGCCTATACACACAAGACAACTATTTTATAATGCATATATTCTACCATATATAGACTATTGTAGTTCAGTTTGGGGAAATTTATTACAAAAAGATTCAGATAGAATCATAAAACTTCAAAAAAGAGTAGCAAGAATTATACTTGAATGCGATATTTCTGTTCCATCTAATTTTATGTTTTCATCTTTAAAATGGCTATCTTTTACAAAAAGAATAAAATACCAACAATCAATTCTAATGTATAAAATTGTAAATGGACTAACACCTGAATACTTAACAATGCTAAATATTAATGATGTGCAACACCACAACTTACGATCTGTCTCTAATAATGATCTATTTGTTCCAAGACCAAATACAAATTTTTATAAAAAATCTTTTCATTATTCTGCAACAAAGGTATGGAATAATTTACCACTCAAAATAAAAAAATGTCGAAATGTGGAATTATTTAAGAAACATTGTTATAATCATTTTCTTGAAAATTCTATGCAAGTCGAATAATTTGTTTTCTTTCTTTTATTGTATGAATAAGAAAATTTAATCAAAACTTTACCAATTATTGCCATTAATTGCCATTTGTATGTTTGAATGATTGAATTGTGTATATACTAGTAATATATATTGTATTTTAATGTATGAATCGAATGTATGAATGTTAACTGTATACATGTATTTTGTTTGAGGGCCTCAATGAAAATTAGACTACTTCTAATTGAGTTACCCTCTTTAAATAAAGAATTTATTATTATTATTATTGCGCAATCGCAGTCGACGTTTATGGGTTATTTTACACTTATTTTGAACATTTTCAGTATAGACCTACGTTGCTGGTGGTTATTTTCAAAAAATTTGAAAACCAATTGTCAGGGGTATTTTCAGTACAACATGGAAAATTGAAAAATAATCTACCATTACACAGAATGAAAAATAATCTACCATTACACAGAATGAAAAATAATCTATCATTACACAGAATGAAACAGAAGTTTTGGAAACAATCTTATTTGCCATGAAAAACAAGCTTAAAATTTAAGCGAAATCTTTTCAAAATAACGCAAAACTCTTTTGGAACATGGTTACGGGAGAGACAAAATATAGCATCTTGTATGACATTATCAAGATTGCGTCTTTTAAAATGTTGTTCCATAAGTATTGTTTGTTTTGATTTGCTTAATCAACACAAAATTTCCTAATGTTCAAAACCATTAACAGAGGCCATAAGATATCTGTTGTCAACACAAACTTCCCTAACGTACAAAACCTTGAACAAAAGCCATAAAATATCAGTTATCAACACAAAATTCTCTAATGTACAAAACCCTTAACAGAGCCCATAAAATAACTGTTATCATAACAGAATTCCATAGAATACAAAACCATTAACAGAGACCATAAAATATCTTTTATAAACACAACATGCCATAAAGTACAAAACCTTTAACAGAGACCATAAAATATCTGTTATGAACACAAAATCCCATAAAGTACAAAACCATTAACAGAGACCATAAAATATATGTTATCATAACAGAATTCCATAGAGTACAAAACCATTAACAGAGACCATAATATATCTGTTATAAACACAACATGCCATAAAGTACAAAACCTTTAACAGAGACCATAAAATATCTGTTATCAACACAAGATCCCCAAAAAGTACAAACCCTTTAATTAACAGAGACCATAAAATATTTGTTATCAACACAAAATCCCATAAAGTACAAAACCTTTCACAGAGACCATAAAATATCTGTTATCAACACAAGATCCCATAAAGTACAAAACCTTTAACAGATACCATAAAATATCTGTTATTAACACAAAATCCAATAAAGTACAAAACCATTAACAGAGACCATAAAATATATGTTATCAACACATAATCCTATAAAGTACAAAAGCCTTTACAGAGACCATAAAATAACTGTTATCATAACAGAATTCCATCGAGTACGAAACCTTCAACAGAGACCATAAAATATCTGTTATCAACACAAGATCCCCAAAGAGTACAAACCCTTTAATTAACAGAGACCATAAAATATCTGTTATCAACACAAAATCCCATAAAGTACAAAACCTTTAACAGAGACCATAAAATATCTGTTATTAACACAAAATCCCATAAAGTACAAAACCATTAACAGAGACCATAAAATATCTGTTATTAACACAAAATCCCATAAAGTACAAAACCATTAACAGGGACCATAAAATATATGTTATCAACACAAAATCCTATAAAGTACAAAAGCCTTTGCAGCGACTATAAAATATATGTTATCAACACAAAATTCCACAAAGTTCAAAACTTTCACAGAGACCATAAAAAATCTGTTATCAACACAAAATCCCATAAAGTACAAAACCTTTAACAGAGGCCATACAATATCTGTTATCAACAAAAAATCCCAAAAAGTACAAAACCATTAAGAGAAACCATAAAATATCTGTTATCAACAAAAAATCCCATAAAGTACTAAAACTTTCATAGAGACCATAAAATATCGGTTATCAACACAAAATCCCCTAATGGACAATACAATTAACAGAGACCATAAAATATCTGTTATCAACACAACATTCATTAAAGTACCAGACTCTTAAAAGAGACCATAACATATCTATTATCAACAAAAAATCCCATAAAGTACAAAAATTTTCACAGAGACCATAAAAAAATATGTTATCAAAATAAAATCCCATAAAGTACAAAAACTTTCAAAGAGACCATAAAATATCTGTTATCAACACAAAATCCCCTAATGGACAATACCACCAACAGGGACCATAAAATATCTATTACCAACAAAAAATCCCATAAAGTACAAAACCTTTAACAGAGACCACAAAATATCTGTTATTAACACAAAACCCCATAAAGTACAAAACCATTCAGAAAAACCCTAAACAATAAGTATCTTGGACAGGTTCTTAAAAATGAGAAGGGATTAAAGTAATTTCTTAGTATTTTGATAATTACTTTGATGTAATTTGTTGTGTCATCTTTTCATTTCTATTTTGTTTGTTTTCTTATCTTGTTACTTAAATGTCTAACAAGTTTAAACTAAACGATTGTGGAAATTAAGCAGAATAAGATTCAATATCAAACAGACTTTTTTTTTTTAAAAATACAAATTTGATATAAAATAGAATTAGTTCAATACAAAATTAAATGATGAATCTTGATTTCTAACTGACATAAGATACTATTATTCCCTATTTTACTGCTGCAAAGTAAGTTCTTCTTCTTCCAGCGGAGACAATATAATATTCTATTTCTAAAATAAACATAATAAGAAGTCAACATTTTTCTCATATGTTAAAAAAGAACTTTTATTTTCTCTTGTATTCCAAAACGTCCATAGTTTTGAGCAAACTACATCATTTTCTTGAAGAACTTGTAACCAATCATAGTAATGGATTTCTAATCATGCAAATTAGATAAGAATAAATATAATATCAGCTACTTTCTGTTTCCATAAAGACAGTTTTGTACGTGTCCGCCCAATGTCTATAGGAATCTGTAATTCAGTGGTTTTTCTATATCATATTTGTTTTTCGTTTATTGATTTGTATAAAAATCAGGCCGTTATTTATCGCGTTTGAATTTTTTACATTCGTCATTGCTTGACCTTTTATAGCTTGTTATGCGGTATGTGTGCTGCTCATTGATGAAGGTGGTACGGTGAACTAAAGTTGCTAACAACAAACAACACAAAATCCCATAAAGAACAAAACCTTTAACAGAGACCATAAAATATCTGTTATCAACAAAAAATCCCATAAAGTACAAAAACTTTTACAGAGACCATAACATATCTGTTATCAACAAAAAATCCCATAAAGTACAAAAACTTTCACAGAGACCATAAAAAAATCTGTTAGCAACACAAAATCCCACAAAGTAGAAAACTTTTAACAGAGACCATAAAATATCTGTTATCAACAAAAAATCTCATAAAGTGCAAAAACTTTCACAGAGACCATAAAATATCTGTTACCAACACAAAATCCTCTAATGAACAATACCATTATGAGAGACCATAAAATATCTGTTATCAACACAAAATCCCATAAATTATAATAAAGGCAATAGTAGTATACCGCTGTTCAATAGTCATAAATCGATTTAACTGAAACAAATCCGGGTCACAAACCAAAACTGAGGGAAACACATCAACTATAAGAATAAACAAAACGGAACAACAGAAACACGGAACTGCTACAAAAATAAACGCCAACATACATAGAAACGGACTATGTGATAACAACTGTCATATTCCTGACTTGTTACAGGACATTGTAAGAAGAAAAAAATGGTGGGTTGAACCTGGTTTTATGGCTAGCCAAACCTCCCGCTTATATGGCAATGTTAAAAATACCGCTAAAATGACAACATTACGTGACAGGAATACAGTACAAATAAATGCAAGACAATTAGGACAGAGACATACATAAATGAATAATAGAATAGTCCATTTCAACATGTAAACCACAGAATGACAACGAACACCAAAAATAATTTACGACAAAACACAAATACAGCACAATAGAATAATGAACTGCACAATAGAATAATGAACGGCAAAATAGAAAAATGAACTATAAAATCCTTTACAGAGGCCATAAAATATATTTTATCAATACAAAATCCCATAAAGTACAAAACCATTCAGATAAACCCTAAACCATAAATATCTTGGACAGGTACATACAAATGAGACGGGATTAAAGTAATTTCTTAGTATTTTGATAATTGGTTTGTTGTAATTTATTGTGTCATCTTTTCATTTCTATTTTGTTTGTTTTCTTATCTTGTTACTTAAATGTCTAACAAGTTAAAACTAAACGATTGTGGAAATTAAGCAGAATAAGATTCAACATTAAAAAGTCTTTATTTAAAAAATAACAATACAAATTAGATATAAAATAGAAGTAGTTCAATACAAAATTAAATGATGAATCTGGATTTCTAACTGACATAAGATATTCCATATTTCACTGGCTGCAAAGCAGGTTCTTCTTCTTCCAACGGAGACAATATAATATTCTATTTCTAAAATAAACATAATAAGAAGTCAACATTTTTCTCATATGTTAAAAAAGAACTTTTATTTTCCTTTGTATTCAAAAACGTTCGTAGTTTTGAGCTAAGTACAAAGATAAAGGCAACAGCAGTATACCGCTGTTCAATATTCATAAATCGATTTAACTTTAACAAATCCGGGTCATCATTTTCAGGAAGAACCTGTAACCAATCATAGTAATACAAATCAGATAAGAATTAATATGAAATAAACTTCTTTCTGTATCCTTTCAGACTGTTTTGTATGTGTCCGTCAAATGTTTTTAGGAATCTGTAATTCAGTGGTTGTCGTTTGTTGTTCTATATATATTATATTTGTTTTTCGTTTATTGATTTGTACAAATCAGGCCGTTAGTTATCGTGTTTGAATTGTTTTACATTCGTTATTGTTTGACCTTTTATAGCTTGTTATGCAGTATGGGTGATGTTCATTGATGAAGGTGATACGGTGACCTAAAGTTGCTAACTTTAACCTCATTTTGTCTCTGGTTGAGGGTTGTCTCATTGACAATCATAGCACATATTATTATTTTATATGTACATGTATCTACTTGAAGTCTGGTGTTTTTATGTGCATCTCTGTTGCATCGTGTGTAGCTATTTACCTCTTTGTATTCACAATGAGTCATTATTCACTGAATGCAATTTCATTTCTGAAAAGCCTATTGAAAAGGTTTTTATCTTACTTTCTTGCTAGTACTTATTTAAATCTTAATTATTTCAAATCGTTCCGTGGTTAAACACTTGTTTTGGGGTTTGTTTTGTGTTGCTCCTTAGCTTTATGTGAAGTGTTTTGAGAATGGCATCTAGGTTAATTGCTTGGCGCTATCAGATCTGTATCCATGTAAAAAAAAAAACGATTTCAAGCTTACCAGTGTTAATTGTTTGGAGCTATCAGATTTATATCCATGTACAAAAACGATTTCAAGTTTTACATGGTTAATTGTTTGGAGTTAGCAACTCTATATCCATGTAAACAAAAACGGCTTGCAGATTTACAGGGTTAACTGTTTGGAGCTATCAGATCTATATCCATGTAAACAAAAACGACTTCAAGCTTTACAGGGTTATTTGTTTGGAGCTATCAGATCTATATCCATGTAAAAAAATCGATTTCAAGTTTTACAGGGTTAATTGTTTGGAGCTATCAGATCTATGTTCATGTAAAAAAACGATTTCAAGCTTTAGAGAGTTAATTGTTTGGAGCTATCAGATCTATATCCATGTAAAAAAAAATGATTTCAAGTTTTACAGGGTTAATTTTTTGGAGCTATCAGATCTATATTCATGTAAAAAAGTGACTTCAAGCTATCAGATCTATATCCATAAAAAAAATCGATTTCAAGTTAATTGTTTGGAGCTAGCAGATCTATAATTATCAATGTAAAAACGATTTCAAATTTTATAGGGTTAATTGTTTGGAGCTATCCGATCTATATCCATAAACAAAATCGATTTCAAGTTTTACAGGGTTAATTGTTTGGAGCTATCAGTTTTATATCCATATAAACAAACAATTTCAAGTTTTACAGGGTTGATTGTTTGGAGCTACCAGATCTATATTCATGCAGAAAAAAACCGACTTCAAGCTTTATAATTACAGGGTTAATTATTTGGAGCTATCAGATCTATATCCATGTAGAAAATGATTTCAAGTTTTGTTAATTATTTGGAGCAATCAGATCTATGTCCATCCAAAAACGATTTCAAGCTTTACATGGTTAATTGTTTGGAGCTATCCGATCTATATTCATGTAAACAAAAACGATTTCAAGTTTTACAGGGTTAATTGTTTGGAGCTATTCGATCTATATCCATGTAAAAAAAAACGGCTTCAAGCTTTACAGGGTTAATTGATTGGAGCTATGAGACCTATATCCACGTAAACAAAAACGATTTCAAGCTTTACAGGGTTAATTGTTTGGAGCTATCAGATCTATATCCATGTAAAAAAATATTTCAAGTTTTACAGGGTTAATTGTTTGGAGCAATCAGATCTATATTCATGCAAAAAAAAAAAACGACTTCAAGCTTTACACGGTTAATTGTTTGGAGCTATCGATCTATATCCATGTCTTCAAGCTTTACAGGGTTAATTGTTTGGAGCAATCAGATCTATATCCATGTAAACAAAAACGATTTCAAGTTTTACAGGGTTCATTGTTTGGAGCTGTCAGATCTATAACCATGTAAACAAAAACGACTTCAAACTTTACAGGGTAATTGTTTGGAGCTATCAGAAATATATCCATGTAAACAAAAACGATTTTAAGCAGTACAGGGTTAATTGTTTGGAGCTATCAGATCTATATTCATGTAAATACACACGATTTCAAGTTCATGACTTCCTTGATAGAGGATTGCTGCTCACAAGGAAGCTATTAAACCAAGAGTTCCAAATTGTGAAGTTGAAGTCATCCCTTCGTAAATTTTACGGACTCCATCACGAGTTGGTTGACCTTTATGGAATAACCGTTTCACAGATGATATCGGATATGTTCCTTATGTCATAACTACAATACCCTCCCTTTTCACTAATGTGATTTACCGAATTAGACTATTTACCGGATTTGTAATAACATAAGCAACACGACGGGTGCCACATGTGGAGCAGGATCTGCTTACCCTTCCGGAGCACCTGAGATCACCCCCAGTTTTTGGTAGGGTTCGTGTTGCTTAGTCTTTGGTTTTCTATGTTGTGTCATCTGTACTATTATTTGTCTGTTTGTCTTTATTTTTGGCCATGGCGTTGTCAGTTTGTTTTCGATCTATGAGTTTGACTGTCCCTCTGGTATCTTTCGTCCCTCTTTTACAGGGTTATTCGTTTGGAGCTATCAGATCTATTTCCATGTAAACAAAAACGACTTCAAGCTTTACAGGTTTTGTTTTTGAGCTATCAGATATATATCCATGTAAACAAACATGACTTCAAGCTTTACACGGTTAATTGTTTGGAGCTATCAGATCTTTATCCATGTAAACAAAAACGACTTCAAGTTATACAAGGTAAAATGTTTAGAGCTATCAGATCTATATCCATGTAAGAACAATTTCAAGCTTTGCAGGATAAATTGTTTAGAGCAAATGATCTATAACCAAAAAACAATTTCATGCTTTACAAGGTTAATCGTTTGTAGCTACCAGATCTATATCCATGTAAAATAAAAAAAAAATCGATTTCAAGCTTTACAGGGTTAATTGTTTGAAGATATCAGATCTATCTATACTACTAACGAGGTCCAAATTGTTAGCCGGCATGACGTAAAAACGACAAATAAAAGAATTCAACTTTATATATATAACTAATATAGGAAAATGGTGCTGATTAAAAATTGCACCATTCCAGACCCTTTTGTTTTCCCCATAATTAATATGACCAATAATAAACAAGTTCCGGTCCGGATCGAATCTGATACCGATACCAATAGTACCTGTTACCTAATCTGTACGTTCCGCCTCTGTCAGGCGCACCACCAAACGGTGTATTTGGGATTTGCTATATATATACACGGGTCATAATCACACCTGAACTTTGTCATTATACAGGATTGACACTACTAAATTCAATCATTGATACAAAAAATATATCTACAAGAAGTTTCCGGTTGTAGTTAGAAAACCAGAACGAATTCAAACAGAAAGATTTTGAAAACGAGAAAACTGTAAACCTTATAATCAGCATGACTTTATCAAATGTAAATACGAATACTAAAAATCCAGGCTGAAAATAAGGCGTAGGTACTTTAATTCAGTCACGGACTCGCAATTTCGCGGGTGTGTTCTAGTATCCATGAAAAAAACCATTTCAAGCTTTACAGTGTGATTTCAATGTTTTTGTTTTTCCACGCTGTTGCTTAATTTTCTTCGAATTATAATTTTGTATTGGTCTCATGGTATCTTCTATCTCTTTTTCCTTAACTGTATCACCCATAAATCCTCTTTGTAAATTTATCGTTTTCTCATCAGTATCAAAATTATCACTTGGCGAAGCTTAAATTTATACAGTCAGCAGTTTAATTTCCTTGTTTGAGTTCAGAAAAGAACATTTACCATCCAAATCTTCTCAGATAAGTGTTATCATTTAGCCAAACATACTCCATCATACTGTTTCGCAATGCCTCTGCAATAAAATACAGGTTTAATCAAATAATATTAAGATTTTGTTTTCCTTGGAATAGAACATTATATCAAAACATTTGAATGTGAATAAAAGAAATACATGTACAATGAATATTAGTATTTAGCCAATATATAGTTTCGTTATTCTCTCTCTCTTAACGTCAAATGGTATCAACTCAGCAGCAAAAAACCTTTTTTTAAACTTTAGTTAAACAATTAAAACGTAAATGCCACCATGATAGCAGATAAAGTTTTTGTTGAATCTAAAATTTTACAAAAAAATATCCATGGTCGGACCAAGTATTTGTGTTTATATAATTGTGTCATTTTGTCTTTAACTTTGATCTTCCAATGTTTAAAGTGACCAATCTAATTTCCGATATGAGTAAAGAATTAATTACCTTTGAAATTGTAATTTTTTATCATTTACCTACCAACAAGCCATTATTATATATAGATATACGTACTTGAGATTCAGCTCACATTCATTGTTGAAAGTTCTGTTATTAACACCACATACTGGTTTGTAACCTTTGCAACATTCCCCTTGATGATGAAAGGATATGCCACTGTAATAAGTAAATACATAAGTCATTACTTACCACTGTAATAAGTAAATACATAAGTCATTACTTACCACTGTAATAAGTAAATATATAAGTCATTACTGCTAGCTATGGATATACCACTGTAATAAGTAAATACATAAGTCATTACTGCTAGCTATGGATGTACCACTGTAATAAGTAAATACATAAGTCATTACTGCTAGCTATGGATATACCATGGTAATAAGTAAATACATTAGTCATTACTGCTAGTTATGGTTGTTTGTTTATCATTCAACCTTTAAAATACTTCGCACTTTTAAGGGGCATTAGCTGTCAAATTCATGTTCACTGATTATGACTCAAATTTTCATATTTGATTTATAACATACTAAAACGTATATCCAAATTATAAAAAGTCAATAACAAGTTACAACGCATGGGCTCGATAATATGCATCAGTATTTCGTGTGTATTTTAGTCTAGACGCCATCTTAATAACTATCGAGGTAAACCTCCGAAGACTGCAGACGGTCATATAACATGATATAAACATAAATATACATATAAATAGATAGCAAACTCGTGCAATTGGATTTTTCTAGGTCTGTTTGATTTCATATTATAGATTAAAAATATATGTTTATCATCGTTTTTTTGCCTGTATAAGAATGAGTTTTTGAAGATCGAATCAGTCAATCAAATGGTTTACCCTTGTTTCATTTTCAATTTTGACATTATTTTCCTTTTAATAACTGAACACGCCTTATTGATGCGTAATCCATCTCTAGCTAAGGGGTTAAATTGAAGGTCACATGAATACGAATTCAATGAGATCGAATTATTCACTTGCAAGTGAATAATTCATCATCGATGTTTCTTGGCTCATTTTGACAAAACTGAACAAAAATGACTGCTAAAAGCGAATTATTATTTCATTTTTTCACTTTCATTAATGATTGGACAAAAAAAAAATCATATTTTATTCTTTTTTTATATCTCGTAGCTAATGCCCCTTTAAGATAAAATAAAATGAGATATAATTTGCAAATTTGAAGTCAATGTGCATATATAAGACACGTGGAGATAATGATGACATAGGGAATGTCTCTAACACTGTTTATATATAAAACACGTGGAGATAAAAATATCATAGGAATGTCTCCAACAATGTCTAGTAACTATATTGAAAACAAAAAGACCAATTGATTATCGCATATTTAAGTTGTACTATTATACAACAATATAAATTGTGAAGTACGGCATGATTGAAAATGAGACAACTAACCACCAAAGACCAAAAGTACAGTGATTAATGTAAACAACTACAAGTCGTATGTTTGAATCAATATAATTTGTGATGTCAGTAGCATGTATGATGAAAAGAGAAGCCACTTTCAGACAAACACGAGACGGGAACTGGTTGAATTAAGATATAAAGCATTGTACCAACAAAACTACATGGTGCTTACCAGAACAACCCAAATAGTGTCAGGTCAACATGGATCAAGTGGCAACCTTAGTGTAGCATCTGTTTCTCAGAATGCATGTATAATGGTATTAATCATTTTGGAATTTTCGAAATTTTCGGATCTTAATTCTCTTTAATATCGTATTTGATTTGATTTGAAATTTGATTCGAGTGTTATTGATGAGTCTTACAAAAAGGAAACGCGCGTCTGGTGTATAGAATTATAAGCCTGGTTACTTTGATGGTTTTTGAATAGATGGTCAACTCGTCTGGTTCAGCAAATGGATGAGTAAAGAGTAAAGTAAGTAATTTATGCAGCGACAATTTGCAATTCTTCTTATTATCAAATAATGATTTGAAGAGATTTTCTTCAAAAAATGAAATGTTGAAAGCCTGTGTTGGAGATTGCTTAGATAAGGATATGCCCAGTTCTATATTGCAAATACCGTTCTGTGAAAGGATATACTTTATTACATATTTTGTATACAAACAAACTAAGCGCATCATGCAAATATTTATAAATAAATATGTTTCATCCAAATAAACTCACGCTTCTTTCAGCCAGCAGTCATTATCATATGTTTTCCCATCAGCCCCGCAGACTGGATTCATTGTGCTAGGACATTTGGGACATTCGCCTTGTGATATTACATCTACGCCACTGAAATTACATTAGTATTCTGATTGGAAAGCAAAGTAATTGACATTTATTGCAATCGAGAATAATTTAGTTTATTTGTATGTACATATAAAACTTAAAGTGGTATGCCAAAGTTTAGTCAAAGTCTCATATTTTGAAACAAAGAAATATTGGAGAGCAAATTAGGAAACGCATGGATACTAATTGGAGTAAAATAGGTTGCGTTATCAGAGTAGGTCTCTCCTGCTATGAATGTATTATCCGTCACACGAATTAAACATCCTGTACTAGAAACTTCCACAGAAGAGATGTAAGTTTTACTTTTTTTAATTCTTATAAATACGTTTAATTCATTTGTAATGGTTAAGGAAAGGTTTTTTTTTACATTTGACATTTTTGAATGTGTGCTGGTTAACAGGAAATTACATTATTTGAATGATATTCCAAAATGCCATTACGGATGCATGGAAAGTGCTATACTTTGGTTGAATGTAATTTGAAGCCATGAACTTAAAATTATTTTTTCTTTTTTAATGACGACGCTCTGTTTTATTCTTGTGTATTATGTAGTTGGCAAAATGACTTTTATGCGAATACATTTCGTTTTAACACCAAGATTAACAATGTAAATAGAGATAATTGATTAAAATCAACTTTAATTCATATCTAAATTTCAAAAAATGAAATGAGAGCTGAAGGTTTATTAATTGAAATTTACATCGTTTTACTTCAAGTGTTGTTAAAATAATATATTTATGTTCGATAACGTAAAGAAAAGCGTTAATTGAACATAATTATAATATGTTTTGACATTACTATATATGTAATTAATATAATTGATTTAATTATTATTTTAAATAAAATTAAATCATGGACTATTTTTAACGTTTATTGTGTTACTATTCACCAATACTGAGAATGTGGACTTTCCTAAACAATAACAAGTCAGTTGCATGAATACAAATTCTATATAATCTTAATAAAAACAAGAGGCGGAAGATACTTGACAGATATCCGTATGATACAAGGGAGAGAACCAGCCTACGAAGATACCAGAGGAGCAATCAAAATTCAATTTTCAAAGAAATCAACGAAATCATGGCAAAAAAAAACCCCACCCGAATATGAAAGAAAAGACATACAGCAGTCAAAAAACATTACATAGAAAACTAAAGACTGGGCAACATAAACACCAACAAATCATTGGTGATCTCAAGTGCTTCGGGTAAGCAGATCCTGATCCCCATGTGGCACCCGTCGTGTTGCCCTTGGTAAGTTCGAATTCAATAATAATTCTATTTCAATGACATCACAAACTCAGAAAAGAGAACATGATTGTGGTTTTAACAAGTGGAAAATATTCGTGGCAATATGTGGCACAGATATTCCATAGCGGTTAGCCAAATCATAATGACGTCTATAAAACTGTCGAAGGGATAAATTCAACTCTTCCACTAGAAACCCTTGGTTTAAAAACTTTTTTGTAAGCAACAATCTTCAATCAAAGAAATCATAATAAGAAACGCAATCTGTAAAATATTGTGTGAACTTGGAGATATACACTACAGGCACTGCTGGAATGTTGCTAAATAGAATTGAAAAGTTCACAATAAAAATATCTTGAATCTGATCTTTTGTTGTAAAGATTTGTTCTCAACCGACACTCATTGCCAATTTGTATACAGACAGATTAAATTGTATTCTTTATCTAAAGTTCGATGGGATAGAAGCGTTGTTCAACTATGAATTATACAATTGTCGTTGACTATACAATTGGCCATCCTCTGATTTGTTACGAGTCACTTTTTATTTTGCCAACCTCTAATTTGCCATGAGTCAATTAAAAAATAAACAGGTGTCAATACAATTTGTCAACGTCTAATTTTCTACGAGTCATTACAATAATAAACATGTTTCTATACAATTTATCAACCTCTAATTTGCCACGAGTCACGTCTTCTACAATAGACAGGTGTCTATACAATTTTTCTAAACTTAATTCAGCACGAGTCACTTCTTCAACAGTAGACATGTTTGATACAAGTTTAATTTGCAACAATTAACTTATTCAACAATAAACATGTGTTCAGTTTATACAATTCTTCAACCTCTAATTTGCCACGAGTCACTTCTTAGTTTGTCAACCACTCATTTGCCACGAGTCCCTTCAAAAATAGAGAGGTGTCTATATCTATTTTGTCAACATCTATTTTGCCAAGAGTTACTACAAAAATATGACATCTATCTACATAATTTGTCAAGCTTTGTTTCTCCAAAAGTCACTTCTTCAACAACAGATAGCTGCCTATACAATTTGTCAACCGCTAGTTTGCTAGAATCACTTCTTATTTTGTCACCCTCTTATATGCCACAAGTCACTTTTTCAACAATATAAAGGCGTCTGTTCAATTTGTCAACCTTCAGTTTATCATTGTCTAGTTTGCCACGAATCACTCCTTAATTTGGCAACCTCTAATTCGTCACAAGTCTAGAACAGTAGTGTATATATAAAAACAAAAGCAATTTAAGATTTAACGAACCCCAATTTTCAAAAATAACAGGAACCCATTTGAATATGACAAAAGACAGATCAAAGGAGGTTTGAACGAAGACATACGTGTACTTAAACAAAAATGAAACTTGCTTTTACAGACATCTCAAACGTTTTACGTCATGCCATATATAAATGTCTGTTTAGATATTTTGATAACTTGGTGTTGAAGGCAGATCTTTGACTCTTTCTGCTTAATTAATTTACATATATAGACTTTTTAAAAGTCTTATAATATGGACATCTGTCTCTAGATGTCTTTGAATTATTTTGGACGTTGGGTTGTTGTCTCATTGACGTATACCCCGTATCCTTTATCCATATATCAAGATGTGATGAGGTTAAAAGGCTCATTCAATATTCCATGCTCCGTTTTTTTATAAACTAGACCCATAAGTAGTAGCGTTAGAATCAAAACCGTTTCAAGCAAATCGATTATGAAGTTAAAAAAATTAAAAAATAAACATTCCAAAAAAGTTGCTCAGATTTTTTCAACTTATTCCTGAATATTGCTTCTTATAATTCAGAATCAAGACTTTATTACTTGTGTACACTTTTTTGTTGTTGTAACTACCATATGCCACACACATAAAAATAAGTATAATATATATTCTTTATTTCTTTAAAAACTTAGTTTATGCGTATGTTTTATTTTGTCTAAAGCCTAATACGATTTTTCAAAGAATAATTTAACACTTCTATGATACGTCGAGCTAAAATGAGAATATCAAATACATACGCTTCTTTCAGCCAACATTGATTCATATATGTTAAGCCATCACTACCACATACAGGATTAAAATCATTTGTACACGACTTCTTACATTCACCCGTTGATGCTAGTTCAACTTTACTAAAATAATTGGTTAAAAAACTTTTCTTATTATAACAATAACAAAATGAAAACTTTTTCCAAAACACCAATGTTTATATACACAGATCACTTCAGGGAAAAGGTATGTCTTTAACAATTTATTCTTAACTTTCGCACTGATTGACATTCAAAATCTTCTCTTTGCACAGTCATTTTAAAGATCAGATATTAAAAATGCTTTGTAGCTCATCAAACCTTCGACTTGTATGACTATTATTTACAGTTCAATCTTATCAATGCTCTTCAGCTCATTACATGGTTTTCAATGATTAGAGTAAACTCACTATATTCGGAGAGATAGAGGAGGTTACTCCTGACAGTTTTTTAAAGAATAGATACTAATATGTGTAATGATTAATTATGACAACATTAACGGTACCAATTTAACATTTCGACAATGTATGTATCTTCGGTGATGCTCGAAGCCAAACTATTTAAAGGTCCAAAACCTTATTTAAACTTTGAAGAGCTCATGTAACCAAAAGGCACCAAAAGTAAAGTCAAACTCGTACAAAGAATCAGTGCTTTGCTTGCGGGAGGAGATACATTCCTTAATATAAAAAGATTTCGAAATTATATAACAGCAAATTTAAATAAAACAATATTCATGTTCGCATGCCTGTACCGAAGTATTGGCTAATGAACTGGTGGTTCCCTCGGGGACTAACAGTCAACCAGCAGAGGTATCGACCTAGGTGTAGTTATAACATTAATAGTACACATTTAACTGTACAAGATGCACATTTAGATAATTAATGTCTATTTAGTGATGCTCGTGTCAAACTATTTGAAAGTCAAAAACTTCAATAATCTTATTGAAGATCTAACTATAATATGTGCGACATTTTTCCAAAAACATCTTACGAGAAAAATACCAGTAACTAAGTCATGAAAATTTTAGAAGAGCTAAAATTAATTTTATCTTTAGGGTTTTTGTAAAATTAGCGACTGGACTCCATGTTATTACTCCTGAATTCATGTTGCCCATAGATTTGAGTGTTACCTGTCGAATACAATATCTTTTTTTAAGGATGTAGTGCTATCAACCATGTAATGCATTTTCGTACGTATTCTCATTGGTAGATTTTTTTTTTATTTCATGAATTTTACTTATATTATTTTATATTATTTTGTTTCAATTAACTTCTACCTGTGTTTTTGGAAACTAGTAAATTTTTCGGGAATTTTTTTATTGCATGCTTCCTTTGTTTTGTTAATCACCTAAATATGAGAGGGGTGAATACATAAAGATAACATAACCAGCCACATGGTAATGTACATAGTTCTAGTCAGAGATTTCTTAACTTGTCGAAGTTTCATAATGCTGACCTCAAATTATCTGAATTTGACTGTTTCAGTAGTTTGGTAACATTGGTACTGACATTATTTCATATCTGCTTTTATATGTATATGTATGATATATATCTATGAATAAATAGATAGATTATCGCCAATTACTAAAAAGGGAATCGATTGATGGATGTGTTTAATTTTAATTTGATTCTAATTCTCTATCTTAATTCAAGGCAGAAAATGGGAAGTAAAGAAATAGGGAATTGTTACAACTTTATAAACTGCATAATTATGAAAAGATACTTAAGGTTTCTGGCTTGTCAGGATATGATTTGCATTCTGAGAGCCACAATATCACAACAAGTCAAACAGATTGGCTTTCAGTGTTTTTATTTATTTTTGTTTTTTGTTAGGTATTGTATGTTTTGGTATATGATTTTTTTTATTTTCCTTTTGGAATCTTTTTTTTACAAACAATGAAGTCATAAAATAGATAAACTTTGTATTTTATATTAAAAGCATTTCGAATGATATACATATGTAGTAATTTCAGATCAGATTGGTGCATATGAAAAACCACTTACGCTTTCTGTCTTTTACATTCATTGCCATATGTGTTGCCATCTACACCACAAACTGGGGAATACTCATCTGTACAGATAACTGGACATGTCCCTGTTGAAGCTAACTGAACTCCACTGTAAACAGAAAAATCCGTAAAGCTAATTCTGTCATGAGATACAGACATTTCTTTAGTGTATGTAAAGGAAACCTCAATCCACTGCATCGTGCATCGATATCTTAATTCAGAATTTATCTTCATGAATGTTTATATTGTACGTTTACTCGGTACCTATTGTTAACAGTAATCTTTTTTGTTACATGTCATGGTGTTGTACGTTGTTCTCGGGACTTTTTCTATTTGGTTTTGTGTGTTTATAATCAATGAAGTCAAGTAATAGTAAAAAATTGTATTTTGTCTTGTAAGCATTTAGAATTTTAGTTACAGTAGTAAATTCAAATAAGATATAGATATACTTGTATACCGGGTATATGAAAATTACTCACGCTTTTTGTCTTTTACAGTCATTGCCATATGTGTTGCCATCTACACCACAAACTGGGGAATACTCATCTGTACAGATAACTGGACATGTCCCTGTTGAAGCTAACTGAACTCCACTGTAAACAGAAAAATCTGTAAAGCTAATTCTGTCATGAGATACAGACATTTCTTTAGTGTATGTACAGGAAACCTCAATCCACTGCATCGTGCATCGATATCTTAATTCAGAATTTATCTTCATGAATGTTTATATTGTACGTTTACTCGGTACCTATTGTTAACAGTAATTTTTTTTGTTACATGTCATGGTGTTGTACGTTGTTCTCGGGACTTTTTCTATTTGGTTTTGTGTGTTTATAATCAATGAAGTCAAGTAATAGTAAAAAATTGTATTTTGTCTTGTAAGCATTTAGAATTTTAGTTACAGTAGTAAATTCAAATAAGATATAGATATACTTGTATACCGGGTATATGAAAATTACTCACGCTTTTTGTCTTTTACAGTCATTGCCATATGTGTTGCCATCTACACCACAAACTGGGGAATACTCATCTGTACAGATAACTGGACATGTCCCTGTTGAAGCTAACTGAACTCCACTGTAAACAGAAAAATCCGTAAAGCTAATTCTGTCATGAGATACAGACATTTCTTTAGTGTATGTAAAGGAAACCTCAATCCACTGCATCGTGCATCGATATCTTAATTCAGAATTTATCTTCATGAATGTTTATATTGTACGTTTACTCGGTACCTATTGTTAACAGTAATTTTTTTTGTTACATGTCATGGTGTTGTACGTTGTTCTCGGGACTTTTTCTATTTGGTTTTGTGTGTTTATAATCAATGAAGTCAAGTAATAGTAAAAAATTGTATTTTGTCTTGTAAGCATTTAGAATTTTAGTTACAGTAGTAAATTCAAATAAGATATAGATATACTTGTATACCGGGTATATGAAAATTACTCACGCTTTTTGTCTTTTACAGTCATTGCCATATGTGTTGCCATCTACACCACAAACTGGGGAATACTCATCTGTACAGATAACTGGACATGCCCCTGCTGACGCTAACTGAACTCCACTATGAAAATAGAAAATCAATAAAGCTTATAATGTTATTTAAACCAGATATTTCTTTAGTGTATGTTAAAGAAACCTCAACCAACTTTTATAAAAGAAGATAACATATTTTTCCTATCACTATAAAACTAGTCAATTGTCAAGTCGTTAAAAATCTGAATGTGTTAACTGTCGTATTGGTGGTTCTTAAAAATGCTCGAATGTGTTAGTGGCTAAACGCCGAAACAACCGCTTACCGGCGGCAGCTTGGCTGAAAACTTGTTCCGCAACTCGAACATTTGCAAAATGGTTATAAACTATATAGCTGATCTCATCGAAATCATTTGATAAGCACGACCATCTGCAAAAGAGAGGCGAAAGATTCCAGAAGGACATTCAAACTCGTAAGTCGAAAATAAACTGACAACGCCATGGCTAAAAAAGAAAAAGGCCAACTTATATAAAATAAGATGGCACATTAAAAGATTCCTTGAAATTGAAATATGATGAAAGACCAGAGTTCCAATGTCCCCCACGTTGCACATATTTAATATGTCCAAGGTTCAAGGGCATTAACTAAAAAGACTTTTTTTTGTTCTTTAATAGTTATCAAAGGTACCAGGATTATAATTTAATACGGCAGACGCGCGTTTCGTCTACATAAAACTCATCAGTGACGCTAAGATCAAAATAGTTATTAAGCCAAACAAGTACAAAGTTGAAGAGCATTGAGGACCCAAAATTTCAAAAAGTTGTGCCAAATACGGCTAAGGTAATCTATGCCTGGGATAAGAAAATCCCTAGTATTTCGAAAAATTCATACTTTTGTAAACAGGAAATTTATAAAGTGACAACATAATTTATATTCAGGTCAACACTGAAGTGCTGACTACTAGGCGGGTGATAGCCTCGGGGACGAAACGTCCACCAGCAGTGGCATCGACCCAGTGGTGTAAATAGTTATCTAAGGTACCCGGATTATAATTTAATACGCCAGACTCGCGTTTCGTCTAAGATTCATCAGTGACGCTCAGATCAAAATAGTTATTAAGCCAAACAAGTACAAAGTTGAAGAGCATTGAGGATCCAAAATTTCAAAAAGTTGTGCCAAATACGGCTAAGGTAATCTATGCCTGGGATAAGAACATCCTTAGAATTTCGAAAAATTCATACTTTTGTAAACAGGAAATTCATAAAATGACCACATAATAAAACTTTTTATAGTTCGTGTTGCTGTTGTACCCCTATATGTGACACGTTTACCTATTGTGTCTGTTTGTTTTGTTCACACATCGTTGTCAATATAATGGAATTTGTTGCGACTGTCATACAAGTGAGAGGTTTAGCTAGCTTTATAACCAGGTTTTACCCACCATTTTTTCTTAAAATGTCCTGTACCAAGTCAGAAAAATGGCCATTGTTATATTATTGTTCGTTTCTGTGTGTGTTGCATTTTAGTGTTGTGTTTCTGTTGTGTCGTTGTTCTCCTCTTATATGTGTTTCCCTCAGTTTTAGTTTGTAACCCGGATTTGTTTTTTTCTCAGTCGATTTATGAATTTCGAATAGCGGTATACTACTGTTGCCTTTATTTATAAATATCTTTGAGAAATGAAGACTTGAGAGCAAATGCAATGCAATTCCCGATATAATATTTTCAAGGGGCATAACTCGTTAAAAATATTTGATCAGAAAATATTTCCGTTATTGTCCGTAATATTGCTGATATAAACCTATGATATTAGTTCCATAAAAATCTGGCAAGAATTGTACACATGGGAGGCTCACAATACAATTTTCCATATAATTGATATTTCCAAGGAGCACAACTCTTTTACTGAGAAGAGAATCAATGGATGGATGTATTGTCCATTTAATAAGAAGTCGAAGTCGCTTCTTACTTTTTTAATGTCTAGGTAAAGGAAGAAATATGGGAAGTAGAAATATAGGGAAATCTAACCATTTGGCTCTGAGTGGTTTCTGTTTTTTTTTTGTCCTAGTATAGTACGTTATTCCTGGACTTGTCTTTTTTTTTTAATTTTCCCTTTGGTGTCTTTTGCCTCTTTTTTTTTACAATCAATGGAGTATGTTATAATCTTGAATTTTGTTTACCTTATGCAGTCATTTCAAATCAGATTGATACATATGGAAAAAAAACTCACGCTTTCTGTCTTTTACAATCATTGCCATATGTGTTGCCATCATCACCACAAACTGGGGAATACTCATCTGTACAGATAACTGGACATGCCCCTGCTGACGCTAACTGAACTCCACTATGAAAATAGAAAATCAATAAAGCTTATTATTTCCTACGTGTATTTAAAGAAAATCTCAACCCATCCTTACAAAAGAAGATAAAATTTATTGTATTCTTATCACTCTAACACTGCTTAGATTTCGAGTCGTACAAATTCTTAATTTCTATCAAGTCGTATTTGTTTTTCTAAAAATAACTTCGAACTTGATTGAAGTGACACGCCACAACAAGTTACCGGCGGCAGGGTGGCTATGCATTTGGTTTGCAACTCGAATATTCTTAGTCTTAAAACGGCAGTAAATGGCATAGAAGGTTCCATCGAAATGATTTGACAGGCACGATCAAATGCAAAATGGCGGTATTAATAGATTCCTGGAAACATATTTGTGTTGCTTCATTAAAATCAACAATGTATGTTTACTTGAGAAACTTCATGGAATGAAAAAAACAAAATGTCACACAATGAAGACACAGTATATTTTCTTTGTCCATAAGACCTTCTGAGTAGAAAATATCGGAAGGTTACATGTAGTGTGTTGTTATACTGAAGATGTTATGTGGACCTCTAGAAATTATAAATTTTCTACTTCAGCAGTTTGGAAAACTGTAAAGGTCGCACTAACATTATCTTTGTTTATTTTCTACTGTTATATATATTTTATGATCCTTTATTCCGTTAAATATGCATAAAAAAACGATAACCTATCGCCAATCACTGAGAAAAGAATCAACTGATGAATGTATTGTCAATTAATAAGAAGTCGGTATACTGAAGTCGCTTCTAATTTCATATGTCCAAGTAAAGACAGTAAAAAAGGGAAATTAAACATTTAGGGAATTGATACAACTCAATACAATGCACATTTATGTCATGATATTCCAGGTTTCTGTAGTTAATTCCTTAATGTCAAATTAGATTGATACAAATGGAAAAACACTCACGCATTTTGTCTTTTACAATCGTTGTCATATGTGTTGCCATCTACACCACAAACTGGGGAATACTCATCTGTACAGATAACTGGACATGTCCCTTTTGATGATAACTGAACTCCACTATTAAAAAAAAGAAATCAATAAAGTTGATCCATACAGACATTCATTTTGTGTATGTCAAGGACACCCAAATTCACTGCTATAAAAGAAGATAACAATTGTTTCATGTCACTAAAGTACTTATTTTTTTTCAAGTAGTTAAAATTTCTGAGTTAGTGTTAAGTCGTGTTTATGTTTCTTAAAAAGATCTATCTCGATTTTGGCTAAACGGAAAAACCGGCAAACAGTGGCTGGCGACAGTCAACTTGATCTGAAAGCTGAGCTTTCGAAGTCTTTATATTAAGATAACATTACTTTTCCAATGTTCAAATCTCTTAGATAAATTAATGAATAACAAGTCAAGATAAAAAACAAACAAGAGTGCACACACTGAAATGTATCGCCTGCTTTACTGACCATTGACTTTATGTTGATAGTCCTAAATATAAAGTTTTACTTCAAGTATCACATAAACTTGATATAATCCAAGAAATGAGGTCAAGGTCAGATTAACTAAGCCAGAAATACATGTACACTTTACAATCATTTCATACACTGAATATACTTGACCTATTGCTTATAGCATTTGTAAAGTATACAAGAAACAGACCAAACCATGAAAATGAGGTCAAGGTCAAATGAACCCTGCCAGACAGACATGTACACCTTACAATCATTCTATGGATCAAATATAGTCGACCTACTGCATATGGTATCTAAGAAACAAACCTAAACAGGAAAACTTAACATTGACCAATGAACCATGAAAATGAGGTCAAGGTCAGATGATACCTATTAGACAGGCATATCACCTAACAATCATTCGATAGACCAAATATAGTTGCTTATGGTTTAAGAAAAACAGACCAATACACAAAAACTAAACATTGAGAAATGAACCGTGAAATTGATGTCAATATCAAATTAAACTTGCCAGACTGACTTCGAAAAATATTTCCATACACCAAATATAGTTGACCTATGGCACACAGTATTAGAAAAACAGACGAAAACACAAAAACTAAACTTTAACCACTGAACCATGAAATGAGGTCATGGTCAGATGACACCTGCCAGTTGGACATGTACACCTTACAATCATTCCATATACCAAATATAGTAGACCTATTACTTATAGTATCCGAGATATGGACTTGACCACGAAAACTTAACCTTGTTCGCTGATCCATGAAATGAGGTCAAGGTTAAGGGAAAACTGTCTGACAGACATGAGGACCTTGCAAGGTACACACATAATAAATATAGTTATCATATTACTCATAATAAGAGAGAAATTAACTTTACAAAAAAACTGAGCTCTTTCTTTCAAGTAGTCACTGAAACATGAAAATGAGGTCAAGGACAATGGACATATGACAGACGGAAACTGTAAGACATAAGACATCTATATACAAAGTATGAAGCATCCAGGTCTTCTACCTTCTTAAATATTAATCTTCTAAGTAGTTAGTTAACGCCACCGCCGCCGAATCAATATCCCTATATATGTCTCGCTTTCTGCAACAGAAGTCGCAGACTCGACAAAAGACCAAGGGAATTGCAAGGGAACTCCAATAGGAGAGTAACCATGTACGTCGACTGGGTAAGCGTGTCATGTTATGCATGCATCACCCGCCCTGCGTAACTACACTCAGACAAACTGTCAAAATCGGGAATATAAACAACCGTTAAAAACATGCACGAACGTAACAAACAAACTGAGATATGTAAAAGCAAAAAGATAGAGCAGATGTTACTAGTATGTTAAAACGACGTAGTCGGTCTTACAGAAAGGATTTGACAGTCATGACCGGTGACACAACGAGATTCCTTGAAATGTATGTTCCTGGGTTATTAAAAAGTAAAATAACAAAAAATGCCGAGCTCCAAGGAAAATTTAAAACGGAAAGTCCTTTATCAAATGGCAAAATCAAAAACTTAAACACACCAAACGAATGGAAAACAACTGTCATATTCCCGACTTGGCTCATGCATTTCCTTATGTAGAAATGGTGGATAGAGCCTGGTTTTATAGCTAGCCAAACCTGTCAATTGTATGACAGTCGCATAGAATTGCATTAAAATAAAATGAAATATATTAATACATGCTTGATTTGTGATTCCTCAATATCTGAAAATAACACAACATGACGCAATGACTGCACAGAATATTCACTTTATTTATAAGACCTTCATAGTAGGAAATATCACGTCAAGAGCATAGATTAATGTCGGATTATGTCATATGAACAATAAAAAATTAATGGAGAGCCTATTTCTACTTTCAATCTCGAGTAAAACCTTTTTGGTGTTATAATGTGCCGATAAAGACGGCTCCGTCCTTTAATATCACGTCACAATATTGATTGAAATATGTATAAGAGTCATTTGCCTATATTTGTGGCAATCAACCTCCTTATTTCGACCGAAATATTTATCAACTCTCCTCACTGCTAACTAAGACTATTACTGCTTACAAGAAAGCTATTGAACCAAGGGTTTCAAATGGTTAAAGCCATCCCTTCGAAAATTTTACGAACGTCATCATGAGTTGGTTGACCGTTTTGGAATATTTGATTCACAGATGATAACGGAGAGGTTTCAATTGTTATAACTATTATCACGTCCTCGTTTTCTCTTTTCTGACATCAACAAAATAGACTTATCACCGAGTGTGTACTTCCAAGAGCAACACGACGGGTGCTACATGTGGAACAGTATCTGCTAATATATCTGGAATACCTGAGATCATCTCTAGTTTTTGGTGAAGTTCGTGTTATTCTATCTTCAGTTTTCTATGTTGTATTTTTATACTGATGTTTTTTTGTGTCGTTTTATATTTTTTGCCATGGCTTTGTCAGTTTGTTATCAACCTATGAGTTTGGATTTTCCTTAGGTATCTTCCACCTATCTTTTACTAGTCAGTTTAATTTTTGTTGTTTTGTTTCTTTTATATGGTTTAATTCGACACTCAAAATATTGACACAGTACTCACCCAAGAGCAAGACTTCATCGTACATCATCTTATTTCATAATCTATCTAAATGAATGCCTCATGGGATTTGCTTTCTTCTGTCATAATAGCAGGAAAGATTTCAAACTATATTTTGAAATCAAACAAACTCCAATGAACACGAGGTAATCGCAAAACATGGGCATATTTTACTGCTCTTAATTCAATTTTACTTACGCTGCTTGTCTGATACAGTCATTGTCATAGGTTCTTCCATCCACTCCACATACAGGGACCAGCTCTAATGAACATTTATCTTTACATAGTGACATGTCTGCTAAACCAACTCCACTAAAAGAGACACAATGTATATATAAGTATCTGAGATTTAACGCGAGTCTGGTGTACCAATTATAAGCCTGGTATTTTTATGAGTTTTTGTATACCTTATCATTTACACTTTCTATGTATTGTATGTTTGTTTTGTTCTCGTTGGAAGCGGTGGTTTCAGGGTTGGGTGTTAGATTTTTTCATTTGAAAGTTATATCCTTTTTAACAATTTTTTTGTAGTTTTCATTTCTATGCGCGTTCTCTGTTAAAATCAATTCTGTTTTCCCGTGTCCTATATTTCAATGGAAGACCTTGGTTTTCGGAATTTTGTTCTGATAAAATTGCCTTCCATACACGTTTACTTTTATGGGGAATATTCAGAAGCAAAGTTAAAATTAATAAGAAAAATAATCTCTAATAAGAGGCCACTTATGAATAATCATTCCAACGTTAACTTACTTCATTTTCCTATGGCAGTCATTGACGTAAAGAAGGCCATCAGTGCCACAGACAATGTCGTATTCACTTGGACATTGCTGGACACACTTTCCATCATAAGCACACCCAACGCCCCTGAAACAATAAAGTATAACGACGGTATAAAAACAGTTTCCCCATAAGCACGTCAAACTCCTTCTGAAACCAGTGAATAATCTATTGACAACAAGTACAAACTCTACACATTTACTACATTTTGTTCACCAATTTAATTTCCATCGAAACATAATATACATGATAACTTCTTTTTGAACATTTATCTACAAACAAAATAAATATTGCTTCTATCAAATATGAGAGTCTAGTATGTTATATAACAGCACATCTTACTGCTTCTTTCAAATATGAGAGACTACAAATCTATCTCAGAAGTATATCTAACTGCTCTAAATTATATACTCCCTCAGAATTTCATCCAACTATTCTGGAGCGTTAAAATACAATGACATTAGCAATAAATAATAGTATAACCATTGGTTTAGAGTATAGAGTTGTAATATTCAAAGTTTCTCATCTCTGTATTCCCAATATGTCTACCTCAAGAATAGATTACCTTAGCTGTATTTGGCAAAACTTATAGGAATTTTTGGTCCTTAATCTTCTTCAACTTCGTACTTTATTTGGCCTTTTTAACTTTTTTTGATTCGAGCGTCACTGATGAGTTTTTTGTAAACGAAACGCGTGTCTTGCGCAAATACAAAATTTCAATCCTGGTATCTATGATGATTTTATTTAGACTCCAACTCAAATTTTTAACACATTAATATATTAAAAAAAGTTCATATCTTAAACTTGAAGATATCTATTTGTTTTTAATTTTGACATCAGAAATAATGCAAAACAGCATGACTATTTGTATATCAGGAATACATTTAAGTTCAAAATGAAAACTAAGGATTTGTGGAAGCATTAATCGCCGATCTCACAAGTTTACACATGTTGCCGCGGCTAGTTTCCATCCCATTCCGTTAACATGAGGCCGCAATATCAAATTGTTCAAGAAACGATGATTTCTGCAGTAATTTAGCTCCTGATGTTTTAGTTATTTTGCCTTCAAGTATCAGACTAGAAGCTTCTTTAGAATCAATACAATCAAAATCAAAGATTGTCTTCGGTCAGCTATCTTTTCATTTACTGGTATTTGATAGAGAAATATTATTTTGCATAGGGTTTCAATAGGAACCACGTCATCAATGCCATCCTGTTCGCCTTCATATCAACATTAAATGAAGATAGATCGTTAATAGAAAATCTTTCATTCATCAATTCCTCAAAGTTTTTAAACATTTCGTCTTACAGTTTGAGAAAAGAAATAAAAGAAAATTGGTTGATCGAAATTAACGTTTACCACCGGCCTCCATGCCTTTCGTCTGATTCAAAATGACAAAGTTTCAATAAGGACCATTCCGTATATTAATTCGGCCAAATTTGGTTCAAATTGACAGGGGTGTAGATGAAATAATTAAAATGTTAAGTGACCTAAATGTCATTCGCTTATACTCATATATACAATAAAGTATGAAAAGGTGTCACTTGTTGTAATAACCTAATAATAAGCTTTTAAGTAGCTATCAGTAACTAAGAGTACATTTAAGTGCATTTAGCTTTCTTGTAAGTTGGCTTTGTGGATTGTGTCGATCTGAGGAATCAATCTTTTTTTAACTGCTTGTTTATATGTTGTTCTCATATTCTGCTGTTACGCCACTGTCCTAGGAAAGGGTCGGGTTTAGTGCTCGCAAATAATCTGAGCCCTGTCACATTCTGTATGTGGCTATTCAAAGTCAGGGGAATTTAATTCAAAGGTTGTCGTTGTTTGCTGTCTGTATGTGGCTGTTCAAAGTCAGGGGAATGTAATTCAGTGGTTGTCGTTGTTTGCTGTCTGTATGTGCCTGTCTAAAGTCAATAGCCTGTAATTCGGTGGTTGTCGTTGTTTGCTGTCTGTATGTGCCTGTCTAAAGTCAGGAGCCTGTAATTCAGTGGTTGTAGTTGTTTGCTGTCTGTATGTGCCTGTCTAAAGTCAGGAGCCTGTAATTCAGTGGTTGTCGTTGTTTGCTATCTGTATGTGGCTGTTCAAAGTCAGAAGCCTGTAATTCAGTGGTTGTCCTTGTTTGCTGTCTGTATGTGGCTGTCTTAAGTCAGGAGCCTGTAATTCAGTGGTTATCTCTATATCTCTATTCGGTTGCTTGCTGTCTGTATATGGCTGTTCAAAGTCAGGAGCCTGTAATTCAATGGTTGTCGTTGTTTGCTGTCTGTATGTGGCTGTCCAAAGTCAGGGGAATGTAATTCAGTGGTTGTCGTTGTTCGCTGTCTGTATGTGGCTGTCTAAAGTCAGGAGCCTGTAATTCAGTGGTTGTCCTTGTTTTCTGTCTGTATGTGGCTGTCTAAAGTCAGGAGCCTGTAATTCAGTAGTTGTCGTTGTTTTCTGTCTGTATGTTGCTGTTCAGAGTCAGGAGAATGTAATTCAGTGGTTGTCGTTGTTTGTTGTCTGTATGTGGCTGTCCAAAGTCAGAAGCCTGTAATTCAGTGGTTGTCGTTGTTTGCTGTCTGTATGTGGCTGTTCAGGCAGGAGAATGTAATTCAGTAGTTGTCGTTGTTTGCTGTCTGTATGTGGCTGTTCAAAGTCAGGAGAATGTAATTTAGTGGTTGTCGTTGTTTGCTGTCTGTATGTGGCTGTCCAAAGTCAGGAGAATGTAATTTAGTGGTTGTCGTTGTTTGCTGTCTGTATGTGACTGTCCAAAGTCAGGAGAATGGAATTCAGTGGTTGTCGTTGTTTGCTGTCATCCACATTTTTTTTCTCGTTAATCATGTTAATTGTTTGTACATAGATTATGCCGTTTGTTTTCTCGTTTGAATTGTTGTTCATTTTGTCATGTCGGAGGCTTTTAGAGCTTACTATAGAGTATGGATTTTGCTCATTGTTGAAGGATGTATGGTGACCTATGGTTGCTTACAACCACCTCATTTTGTCTTTGATTGGTGTCTTTTTGGCAATCATGCCACATTTTCTTATTTTTATATTACTTGAATACTTACACAGCTTTTAAATAACACTTGTTGTAGTATGTTTGTCCATCGACACCACAGACAGGTAAATACTCCGTGGAACAGCTTAGTATACACGTTCCTACATAGGCTAAGTTTACTCCACTACAAAGCATTATTAATGTTGATGTTTATTTCAAATGTATTTCTATAATGTCTTAAAGACTCATCAGAGACAATAGGCTTTCAAGTTGGTGAGAAATTTAGGGGGAAATAAATAATATTGTATTTGATAGAGATCGATGTTGGTTTGCTTGCTGGAAATAAAAACAGACTACAAATGTTTATGATAAAGATATACTTATACTTGTAAAATAGCAAAGCCTGTTTCACGTAGGTAATAAAGCGTACTCAAAATGTAGTACCAAAGATGAAAACTGTCCGTTATAAAAAAACCTAAAAGCTATAAGAGCCTTAAGTCATCCCCTTAGAGAATTTCATATCTTTTTGTGATGGATAAATGTACAGAAGGCAACAAATTAACAAAGAATTAAAAGACAATTGTAGTGGATTATACAGACAACACAACAAAAATAACAGTGGATCATACAGACAACACAACAACAAGACAATAGCAGTGGATCATACAGACACCGAAACAACAAGACACTGACAGTGGATCATACAGACAACGCAACAACAAGACAATAACAGTTGATCATACAGACAACAAAACAACAAGACATTAGCAGTGGATCATACAGACACCGAAACAACAAAAGACTAGCAGTTTATCATACAAACAACACAACAACAAGACATTATCAGTGGATCATACAAACAACACAACAACAAAACATTAGCAGTTTATCATACAAACAACACAACAACAAGACATTATCAGTGGATCATACAAACAACACAACAACAAAACATTAGCAGTGGATCATACAAACAACACAACAACAAGACATTATCAGTGGATCATACAGACAACACAACACCAAGACAATAGCCTTGGATCATACCGATTCCTAGTATTCTGGAAGGAAATAGTTTCTGTTGAGGAATGTCTCAGAAACATTTTTCTATTCGGTTGTTTCTATGTTTTCTGTAATAGTAGAAACGTTTGACATACACAAATGATAACGCTAGACGATGAATAGAGAGTAACATGTTAATAATCTGACAAGAGAACTAAAAATAGGAAAATTCTCGTTTGAATTGTTTAAAAACAAATTGTCAGGCAGGAGCCTTTCATACCTGAATATACGGTACTAGTATGTGTTTTACTCATAGTTGAGGGCCGTACAATGAACTATATTTACTTACTACATTCACATCAGTTGGACTCTGTTAGATATAGTTGTCACAGAGGCAATCATATCACATTTCCTTATTTCTACATTAATGTTTCTGTGCAGAAATTACGAACAAGACTATACTTGCATAGAATATAAAAACTTACTTTAAATCGCGAACACAGTCGTTTCTATAAGTGATTCCATTAACACCACATACAGGTTGATATAGATGAGTACATCGACATCTCCCTTGGTGCACGAAGCTGACGTAACTGTAAACAATATACATATTATTATAATTGATTCCTACTAAAGTTCGTGATATTCAATTGATGATACCATTAATCACAATCATAATTAATAAAGTTTAAATTAAAGTTATTCCATATCTCAGGATGCGAAGTTGTACATGTTTTGGGGACACTTTTATTGAATGTGTCTACGCGAAATAATACAACTGTATTATACATGATAATATTTATATTCCTATTGTATATTTATTTATATTAGTAAACGAATACGCGTGCATTGCCGTTCTTCATCTGGAAAGAACATTAAGGGTGGAAGGAGCATATTCCATGGGGAAAACGTATTTCCACATCTGGAGCAAGAACTGCTGCCTTTCCAAGGCACCTGAGTTCAACCTATTTTTTGGTGGGAGTTTTGTTGCTCAGTCTATAGTTTTATATGTAATGTTTGTTATTGTTGTTTGTCCATTCGTCGTTTTAATGTTTGGCCATAGTATTGACTGTTTTCAATGGATTTATGATTTTCGAATGCCACCTTGATGTTTTCTCTCTTTTTGAATGTGCAGTAATAGTATGGACTATTTAATACATATCACTGGAATAAAAACCAGCTGTAGCTTTGGAGATACGTGTGTGTGTGTGTATTTATGGTTTGGGGTTGGGAGTATCGAATATTTGAATGATAAACAAGGTCTGTTATTACATATTCATAAGTATGTCGTAATCCAAACAACAAGCCAATTTAGGGTGAAAAGATATACAAATTGTTGTTACATAAACACAAAAACATTCAATTTTGAAAGACTTGAAATAACAAACTATTTTGATTAATTATAGAGGTTTTACAAATCTGATATAAACTTACGGATTTAAAGCTAAGTAACATCTATTATGGTATGTTCTACCATCAGATCCACATATTGGGTCCCATACACTTTCACAGAGCGAATCAAACGTCTTCTTTACAATAGCTGTAAGGAGAATAGTGTACTTTTCCATTCCATCTCAAGTAAAACTCACAAAATCAAGACAACATTTTTTGAAATAAACAGATAGACGATGAGGTTTTAATGAGAATTTGTTGCTGGTCAAGCCCTCGATTAAGACCGTGTGTCAAATATAGATCTTTTCATCTCAACGTGCAGGGTTGAAATATTCTGTTTAGAAGAAAACTGAAAAAGGGCTATTATTCGTGCAACGTGTTTTCTATTAACTGCTGAATGGCCGATATTGTTCCGTTCAAGTCAGTCAATTAGATGTTGATTAGCAATGTTATAGCTATCCACTTAAGAACAAGAAAGTGAACTTCTTAATAGAATAGAGCATGGAAACGGGGAATGTGTCTAAAGAGACATCAACCCGACCAAAGAGCAGAAAACAGCCCAAGGCCACAATGGGTCTTCACGCAGAGAGGAAATACTCCGCACCAGGAGGCGGGCTTCAGCTGGCCCCTGAACAACAATGTATACAAGCCTAGCTAACTCCGACACATACCAATGAACCAACATTAAAAAAACATACAAGACTAATAAAGGCTAAAGGTTCCTGACTTGGGACAGGCGCAAAAACGAAGCAGGGTTTAACATGTTTTCTGAGATCTCAATTCTCCCCCTGGCCCTATACCTCTAGCCAATGCGGAATAAACAAACACACAGTAAAACTCAGTTTAAAAGAAGTCATTAATGTCACTTTACCGTTCAAGTAAATAAGGTAAGACCAATACATTAAAAGAGAGGCGAAAGATATCAAAGGGACATTCAAACTCATAAGTCGAAAACAAACTGACAATGCCATGACAAAAAACACAAAACGAACAAAAGACAAACAACAGTATACAAACCACAACATAGAAAACTAAAGACTGAGTAATACGAACCCCACCAAAAACCGGGGGTGATCTCAGGTGCTCCGGACGGGTTAGCAGATCCTGTTCCACATGTAGCAACCGTGGTGTTGCTCATGTATATAAACTGTTGACACAGAGATATGTCTCGCCTGTCGGCATAAAATTCAGAAAAAGACAATCTGATGGACAGCAACATTGCTAATTAATTCAAGGTTGCTGGACCATGAACTAGTGGGAAATGCCTCCAAATGGTTAACAAACTAATATGTACAGACAGTAATGTAACTTTATAGAAAATATTGTTGTCTATTGGAAGTAGTTCCTATCAAATTAACTTAAGCAGAAAACTTAACATTGAAAATTGGTAATTAATTGAAAGTCACTGGACCTATAACCCATGACTTACGGGGGCATGGAGTCGACATAGTCGTCAACCTGATATGTACTGATAGTAATGCAACTTTATAGAAAATATCATTGATCTATCACAAGTAGTACTTATCAAACTAACTTAAGCAGAAAACTTTACATTGAAAATTGTTTCATGATTTTCAAAGTCGCTGAACTATGACCTAGGGGGCAGGTACTTGAAATAGTCGTCAAACTGATATGTATTGATAGTAATGCAACTTTATATTAAATATCAATGATCTATTACAAGTAGTTCCTATCAAACTAACTTAAGCAGAAAACTTAACAATCGTTGACGCCAACTACGACGACGATGACCCGGAAAAGCAATCCCTATATCTCGCTTTACGCGACTTTCGTCGCATGCGAAGGAAAACCCTGGTGATAAGTCTAATTTGGTAGGTCACATTCGAGAAAAAGAGGACGTGACTGTGGTTACGCCAGTAGGAACATATCATTCGTCATCTGTGAAACAGTTAGCCATATCGGTCAACCAACTCGTGATCCCATAACACAGTTAAAAGTATTCAGCAGAATATTGTAAAAGTTATAAAAACTCATATATGCCGTTATCATAAAAGAAATATATATAAGAGTCATAAGTAAACAATACACACAGTTGTCTAAATGACACAAAAACTTACGGGTTGATGTTGACGATTGAATTAATATTACTGCTATCATCGCTGGTACCAATATAACGAAATCCATGTTGTATGTAAAAGAATCTACAAAAAAGGTCTTATTGAAAAGATGAAAAATATTTCTTTAAACAGAACTGTTTCCATTCATAGTACATTTTAAAGCGACACTAAGCACCTGTTATCCGTGTATTACCTTTCTTACGTTTCTTCCTTTATTACAATGCCTTTAACACATATTTATATGTAATTTGTCATGTTTCAGATAAGTGTATACCTAAAAATGTTTACTTTAGAACCACATCCATATATAAATCATTACTTTGCCAAAAGATTTCTCGGAAATTGGCAAGATTGTGGTTTTCATTACCATTCTGTCCAAGTATTACGCAACAATCATATGACGGATTTAAAAAAAAAAAACAGGATATTAAATTTTATCTTTCGTATTTTAAAAGGTATATAATGCACTTTTAGATATATTTCGTGTGATTCATTCGCTCAATACAAATGTATGACTAATAGTATGATAAGAATACGGATAAATACGCTTTTCAACCAAAAACCATTGTATACGAAACTCAAATGTTTCCAAAATAAGTTTCATTATTTTCGAGTTTTCATTTATAAATTACAACCGCTTCTTCCTGTATATATGTCAGGAGATTGATGAATGAATAACTTACAGTTTTTCTTAGAATTTAAAATGTGCTTACCGTTTCACTTATTTTCTGCTTGCTTTTTTTTAAACTATGAATATCTTATAGTAAAAAAAATTCCAGAATTTTGTTATCAAATAGCCAAAGGGAAAACGTCCATGAGTTTTTGCATCTACGTTACACTTCAATTCCCAAAGAAAACTGTAAGGCCATTTTTGTTTTATCAAATATTTTAAAAGTTGCTCTAAGGTTAAACTATGTTGTAAAACGTTTGATACAATAAAACCGAAAATTTCTATGTTAAATGCGTTGAACAAAACGAAGGCACGATTTCGCGGTAGATAATGTAATTACATTGCCTGGAAGGCATTGTGTTCGGGAAAGAAGAGATGTGTAATATTTTAGCTAGGTGCAAGATGTGGGATATAATATACTGAAAATTGTCAACACTGTTTATTGAACTGTAGTCATCATTAAAATTGAAAGAGGTATATCATGTATATAGGTCCAATTTCCTCTGAAGTTATTTCACACCAGGGCCAATTTCTAAATGTCCTCCAATCTTTTCAAAATTTCACAGTATCTTAGATTCAAATGTAAACTTATGAGTTTTAAGAACTTTCTGGTGAGTTACTGAATATGTGGCCAAATTGTAAAGAAGGACACCCTTAACCAAAACCAAAGTTCTGAGAAAAGTAAAGCTATAAATTGTCTTTCGAATATGCAATAGTTAATTTTGGTTAAAGACGTCCTTCGATGCAAAATTTTACAAAAACATGTAAAATTTGCAGGTTTGTTTTCAATGTTCGATTTAAACAATTTTCAGATTTTGACCACGTGACTACTAAAACAAATACAGGGGAGATTGGCCCTACCTTTTGTATGATTGAAAGGAGGTATGGGGTATAACCCTGAGAGCAAGAACAACACAATAAAAGAGAAGATGCTTTAATCTTAAAGGTCAACCAACGGTCTTCGAAAAATAAAGTGCTATACCATGTGTCAAGCTTTTAAAGAACGTATGGATGCTACACAAGACGTACCTATGTACTCTACACAAAACGTACCTATGTATGCTATTCCAAATGCACTTATGTATGCTACACCAAAAGTACTTATATATATGCTACACTCCACGCACTTATATAATTTACACCCAACGTACTTGTTCATGCTACACCAAACGCACTTCAAAAAACACATATGTATGCTACACTAATAATAATTATGAATGCTACACACAACGCACGTATGTATGCTATGGTAATATGCTACACCAAAAACACTTATTATGCTACACCAAGCATACCGATGTATACTACAGCAAACACACTTACATATGCTACAACAAACTCACTGATGTATGATACATCCAACACCACTTACATATGATACTACAAACTCACTGATGTATGCTATAATTAACTCACTGATGTATGCTACACCAAAAACACTTTTGTATGCTACACCAGTGTGTTACTACAACAGACTCACAAATGTATGCTACACCAAACACACTGATGTGTGCTACACCAAACACACTTATATATGGTAGACCAAAAGCACTTATATACACTACACCGAACATAAAGTTGTATGCTACAACAATATCACTGATGTATATGCTACAACAAACACACTGATGTATGCTTCAACAAATTCACCGATGTATGCTCCACCAAACACAAATATGTATGCTATACATAACACATGGATGTATGCTACAACAAACTTGCTAATGTATGCTACACCAGCACACTTATGTATTCTACACCAAGCACACCGATGTATACTAGACCAAAAGCACTTATGTATGCTACACCAACCACACTAATGTTTGCTACAACAAGCTCGCCAATGTATGCTACACCAATCACAAATATGTGTGCTACACCAAACACACATATGTATGCTTCACCAAACACACTGATGTAGGCTACACCAAACACACTGATGAATGCTACAACAAACTCACCAATGTATGATTCATCAAACACACTGATGTAGGCTGCACCAAACACACTGATGTATGCTACAACAAACACACTTATACATGCTACACCAAACACACTGATGTATGCTACAACAGACTCACCAATGTATGATTCACCAATCACACTTATGTATGCTACACCAAACACACTGATGTATGCTACAACAGACTCGCCAATAGATATAAGAAGATGTGGTATGAGTGCCAATGAGACAATTCTCCATCCAAGTAAAAATTTATAAAAGTAAACCATTATAGGTCAAAGTACGGTCTTCAACACGGAGCCTTGGCTCACACCGAACAGCAAGCTATAAAGGGCCCCAAAAATTACTAGTGTAAAACCATTCAAACGGGAAAACCAACGGTCTAATCTATATAAAAAACGAGAAACACTTATGAACCAGATCAACAAACGACAACTACTGAACATCAGATACCTGATGTATGATTCACCAAACACACTTATCTAGGCTACACCAAACACACTGATGTATGCTTCAACAAAAACAATTTTACATGCTACACCAAACACACTGATGTATGCTACAACAGACTCACCAATAGATACAAGAAGATGTGGTATGAGTGCCAATGAGACAATTCTCCATCCAAGTAAAAATTTATAAAAGTAAACCATTATAGGTCAAAGTACGGTCTTCAACACGGAGCCTTGGCTCACACCGAACAGCAAGCTATAAAGGGCCCCAAAAATTACTAGTGTAAAACCATTCAAACGGGAAAACCAACGGTCTAATCTATATAAAAAACGAGAAACACTTATGAACCAGATCAAAAAACGACAACTACTGAACATCAGATACCTGATGTATGATTCTCCAAACACACTTATCTAGGCTACACCAAACACACTAATGTATGCTTCAACAAACACAATTATACATGCTTCACCAAACACACTGATGTATGCTACAATAGACTCACCAATGTATGATTCACCAAACACACTTATGCATGCTACACCAAAAGCACTTATATGTGCTTCATTAGACTTATTTGACGAAAATATTAAGTTTATACAAATATTAAAAAAGTCGAAAATATCTGCAAACAGGAAATGGGTGACGGTTTTCAACCAGATTGAGTGCATTTTAATCACATTGTGTTAGACAGATTAGAAAAGCAAACAACCATGAAGACATAATCTTTCAATCAGTTGAATTGAGGTCTGGAGCTGGCATGTCAGTAACTGCTATATATATATATAGCTAGTAGTCCTTTGTTAATTTATGTATCGTTGTCATTTAGTTTCTATTGTTACCTATTCTGACATCGTACTCGGACTTCTTTTAAACTGAGTTTTACTGTGAGTTTGTTTATTCTACATTGGCTAGAGGTATAGGGGGAGGGTTGAGATCTCACAAAATATGTTTAACCCCGCCGCATTTTTGCGCCTGTCCCAAGTCAGGAGCCTCTGGACTTTTTTAGTTTTGTATGTTTTTTTAATTTTAGTTCATTTATATGTTTTGGAGTTAAGTGTGACGTCCATTTTCATTGAATTAGTACACATGTTTGTTTAGGGACCAGCTGAAGCCCGCTTCCTGGTGCAGGATTTTCTCGCTGTGTTGAAGACCCATTGGTGGCCTTCAGCTGTTGTCTGCTCTTTGGTCGGGTTGTTGTCTCTTTGACACATTTCCCGTTTCCATTCTCAATTTCAACCATTACAACTTATCACTGTCAAGCTGCTGACCAATTAGGAAGTCATTCTGTTCAGTTTAAAAAAAATATTTGTTGGACAAACAGACGGACCAACTTCATTGATTGCAATATAGCCCCAACTTCACTGATAAAATATATACATGTATACATATATATTTGTTTGTCTTGAATTCAGTCCAGCAATGTTAGAACCAATTTTTGCACTAGCATAGTTATACTGTTGTTTCAAATTTAAGCTGTTGAGACATCAATGCGGAGTGTTCATCGCCTTTAACAGACCTCTTTGCCAGCAAGGCTTTCTCCCCAAGGATAGTTGACCTAGGGATGTGAGATTGCATAACTTGTAACATAACACATCTTTATACAAGGTACAATGTATGAAGTATGAAGGATTCAGGTATTCTAACCCCTGAAATACTAAGCTTTATACAAATAGTTGATGCATGTAAAAACTTAAAATTAACCAAAGACCTACCTATAATGCTTTATACAATAATTACATTACATGTATGTTTCATTATAATACGTTTTTATGATTGGCTAACAGTAATCTCGCGTCATTCTGAAATTAACATTCATTTCAAAATAAAATGTAACATTCATGATGACACGAGCTTCCACAATAAAGTGCACAGGTATATAAAAGAAAAACTTGATAGAAATGTTTTCATGATCCTAGCAAAAAAATGTAATTATAAGTATTGAATGCTTCTTTTAGTAATTTTATAGGGTTGTAAAAGCGTTGACCGTGAGCACATTTTTAGAATGAAGCACTCCTGCACTTCATGCAAAATGTACTTCGGTCAACACTTTTACACCCTATTAAATTTACAAAAAGAAGCATTCAATACTTAAAACAAGTGCCTATACTTATAATCAGGTCATAAACGTTTCCAAAATCAAAATTATATATGTTGTGTTTTAAAAAGAGGATATCCAAGATCTGAAATTAACATCAAAGTCTCCAAATAACAACAAAACATTGAGACCTTTATTAGTCTGTACCATCTCTACTGGAGGCCTTTTAGAACATGAAAGTTCATGTAACAACAATGCCAG